GAGTATAAGTTTATTAGAGTTAACTGCACCTCAGATTGCAGCCCACATAAATGCTTCACAGAGTTCAAGTAACAGACACATCTCAACATCAACTGTTCAGAGGAGACTGCGTGAATCAGGCCTTCATGGTCGAATTGCTGCAAAGTAACCACTACTAAAGGACACCAATAAGAAGAAGAGACTTGCTTAGGTCAAGAAACACGAGCAATGGACATTAGACCGGTGGAAATCTGTCCTTTGGTCTGATGAGTCCACATTTGTGATTTTTGGTTCCAGAGTAGGTGAACGGATGATCTCCGCATGTGTGGTTCCCACTGTGAATTATGGAGGAGGAGGAGGTGCGCTTTGCTGGTGACACTGTCTGTGATTTATTTAGAATTCAAGGCACACTTAACCAGTATGGCTACCACATGGCCATCCCATCTGGTTTGCGCTTAGTGGGACAATCATTTGTTTTTCAACAAGACAATGACCCAACACACCTCCAGGCTGTGTAAGGGCTATTTGACCAAGAAGAAGAGTGCTGCATCAGATGACCTGGCCTCCACAATCACCAGACCTCAACCCAATTGAGATGGTTTGTGATGAGTCGGACCGCAGAGTGACGGAAAAGCAGCCAACAAGTGCTCAGCATATGTGGGAACTCCTTCAAGACTGTTGGAAAAGCATTCCTCATGAAGCTGGTTGAGAGAATGCGAAGTGTGCAAAGCTGTCATCAAGGCAAAGGGTGGCTACTCTCAAATATAAAATATGTTTTGATTTGTTTAACACTTTTTTTTGTTGGTTACTGCATGATTCCATATGTGTTGTTTCTTAGTTTTGATGTCTTCACTATTATTCTACAATGTAGAAAATAGTAAAAAAAATAAAGAAAAACCCTTGAATGTGTAGGTGTCCAAACTTTTGACTGGTACTGTACATGTAAAGGTGTCCTTCTGAGTGCAATAAATAATATTAATTGACCCCCCTGTCTTTGCCAACAGTGCAAACAACTTTGCCATGAAAGCCAAACGGAAAACTCTAAACGCAACAGATGTGATGTCTGCGATGGAGGAGATGGAGTTTGAACGCTTCTTGCAGCCTCTACGTGAATCTTTGGAGGGTAAATGTTCAAATGATCATCACCTATCAACACTGAATTTCTTAACAGCCTGTGGGTTTTGGACAGGGTGTTTTAGCGACATTGGCGGGGTTTAAGAGCATCAATTATAATCAGTCACTGATCAACTGAGCACACTGACAGATTTACACTAAATAACAACTCATTATGATTTGTAAATCAGTCTGTCTGCTTAGCAGCGACTGAGCAGTATTGACACTTTCAAACATGGCCATTGTCTGGCTTGGCCTGAAAACGTCCCAGCAATGCATTGTGGTCAGTTCTTGCAGACTCTGCTTGATGCATTTTATCCCTATTGGAACAATGTTCTGAATTAATGGGGAGATTTATTGTGTTGCATTACAATCTGTCTTGATTAGAGAACCTGACAAAATGGGAAAATTTAATTGACTGCCACCACAGAGGATAATAAGTAGGAGAGGTTGCTGGGTGTAGGCCTAGTTGTCCCATTTAAACCTAATTTATCTAATTTCCCCTTCATTGGAACAATGCACTTTTTTTTCCTATTATGGGGTGGATATTTATAGCAATCTATAAAGCTATGGAAAATTGTGGCCAGTGTCGACTACAATTGTCCACCTTGCTAACCACTGTGACTTGAGTGAATGCTGTTTTATAACTGAATGTTTTTCCAATACAGCTTACAAGAAGGGCCAGAAGGGGAAGAAAGAGGCATCGGAACAAAAACGCAAAGACGCAAAGGAGAAAAAGAACGACAAGAGCAGGGAGGAGGAAGAGGAGGAGGAAGAGCGCATGGAGGAAGACCAGGAAGCAGAGAATGAGGTTGAAGAGGAAGAAGTTGAGAATTGATAACTGACTTATTTTTCATGTAGTAGAGCACTGATCAGAATACAGATGCGCAGTCTGAGGCTCTGTTTGAGTACTTGGAAAATGCACACTAATCAGTAAACAGAAGTCTCTTAATTTTGACAATTTAAAACACAAACATGTTACACCCGGCAACAGATGCTCTTCTACACAGCTTTCACAGATTCAGTTGTCAGATCAGTGATTATTTAAATGAAGGGTGCTTTTTCAAGGTAAACAAATAGTGCCTTGGTATTGATTAAATAGTTCTATTCTGTTCTCTTCCAGCAACCGGCTCAATGAATATAGGGGGTAGAATTTAGACCAAGAATTTAGACCAATAACCATCTCCATCAGTTATTTGCTGGAACAAAGCACAATGTGAACCTGCTGTACTCTGACCAGAAAGGCCTTATACCACTGTATAATTATTGGTTTTTAAGACCATTATTGATTTGTTGATATACTCATTATCCCACAGTAGATTTGATAGCAATTAAGTTACTCGTGTTTGGTAGACTTGGTGTCGACTGACTCACTCTGTCCTCAATAAACTCTGAAGGATTCAACTTGTAGATTTGTGTACCTGACATCCAAATATTAGTGTTTGGCACAAACGAGATCAGCCATGCTTGACCTTAAAAGAATGATGCAGAGAATGTAAAAAATGTCCATCCTTACAAGTTAGGCTATGTGGTTGTTGGTCATGACTCAAACTCGGGTTTTGAAATTAATGATTTGGTCTGTCTGGAATCTTGGAGATGACAAACTAGGATTAAGGCGTTCAAAATCAGTCATGCAAGTAACTATCATGTCCTTGTCAGGCTACAGATGCTTACCAAAAGTGAGCTGTTATTCATATGTTGTAGGTGAATAACTTTTCTTTTGAACAGAAGGCCTCCAGTGAAGACTCAATGTCTTCAGGGGATTAACTGTACTTTTTGTAGCATTGGATACATTTTGTTTTTCAATAAAGATTTTTGTATAAAGAACTGATTTGGTTGCTTTTCCATTAAACGCTAAATTACATGTGAAGTTGACTAATTGAAAAAGGCTTCCTGGTGTCCACTACCCTTGCCGAAAAACCCTAGGGCAGGGGTGTCAATTTATTCCATGGAGAGCCTCCGCAGGTTTTTCCTGTGAAGTTGACTCATCGAAAAAGGTTTCCTGGTGTTAGAGCTCTACCATTCAGGGGTATTATTTCCATTGCCTTCTACAGATGCCGACAAGTGTAGTACTCGAATCCAGATTTCTGTGACTCGACCATTGGTGACTCGGACCTGCACTGGATAGGCTATGACAAGCAAAATATTAGCAGCACTGAGATTTGTTTCCTAGCAGTGGGAAAGAGGTGCTGCACACGCAGCCTACATTGGCTGGTGAGCTGCAGGGGAGCAAGTGATTGTGGGCAGGCAGGCAGGCTCCAATCATAGGCTACACATCGCACAAGTGAGTCTTGCTAACCTGTAACCACCAGCCTACTATTTAGCTTTGCCTGGTTAACTGCTTTCCTAAATTGAAAACAATACTAGTATTGAGGTCAATCGTAAAGCAACAGTCTATTTGTCGCTTCCCCAAGTATAGAAAAGTAGGTTGTTTTTTATGTCATCTCGCTCTTCCCTCACTTCCCCCCTGCATTCCATAGCCAAGTCTCCCTTTAGTTCACTCAGCAATAAACTTACACAAATATCAGTAGGAAATTAGAAAAAAGTAGCTGAGAGCCTGACTTACCAGTCATTTATGTAAATAGTGAAACAGGTACAGTAGAACTTGAGGTAGTGAATAGTAAAATACTTTTTTTCAGTGAGTGGCAACTAGAAACAAATGCATAATAATTGTTATACATTGGACTCGAGACTCAATCATTGGTGACAGACTCAGGCTCGTGACTTGATGTTTAGTGACTCAACACTGGATGTGGATACTTGTAGAAATCTGTGACGATTTTCTACACTTTAGCGCACTCCACTTAAATGTCCCACCGTGCCAATCATTGGGGTAAACAGCTGAAATTCTCAAAGGGATAGTTCTCCCAAATTACATTGTTTCCTTAAAGCAGGAAACAATGTAATTTGCTTGACCTAGCATTTATGCTTGACCTGGCGATGTGGTCCAGAGGCTCAGTACGGAGGGTGTGACGCAATTTGGGAGCCTCCGGGGGTCAAATCACCTACTGTACACCGCCCAAATGTTGTAACAAATGCAGAGGGCTCCGGTATATCTCCACATTGACGGTAGGTGGGGCAGTATGTCCTAAAAACAAACTCAACTTCCTTCACAACTCTGAAATGAAAGTATGAACGCTCCGACTATCACATTAAATCCTCAAGTATCGAAAATCTGTAGCTCAAGTTACTTTTAGATCTGGACAAGCACCGAAAAAGCTATCATTCATTTTTTTTGGATTTGACCAACACTAGAATTTAAGCATTTGCTATTAGGGTCAGGTTTTTCTTTAAAGAATAGACCGCTTACAGGGTAAGGAAAGTGTTCCCCAATATTAATTTAGCAGTGCTACGTTGCCACAACTGCAAAAAAAAAAAAAAAAAAGGGTTTTAATATCTGTTGAGACAGGCTTTTTAAAGGGATAGTAGTTGTCTCAATGACAAAGTCTATGGGAACAGCTAGCATGCCATTTTGCCACTAGTAGCACTGCATCCCTGCTTCCCTTGCCACCACTGCTGATAAACCCTAGGGAATGATGTAACTTGTTCTATGAGGGCCTAGTGTCTGCAGGTATTTTTTACCTTCCAATTAAGCCCTAGACATCCAGGTGTTGGGATTTCCTTACTAAGTGACCCTAATTCATCAAGTAGGTACAAGGGAGGTGCGAAAACCCACCGACACTTGGCCCACTGTGGAATGTGTTTGACACCTGTGCCCTTGGAAACCAATGTTATTTTGTAATTTGGGTAAACTACCCCATGTATAGTGCAAAACATTGATGGCTGTTAACCAGTGAATAGAAAGACTGCTCAACACTAGAATTTACTGAATACATAAAGGTGTAAATAGTGTCCGCTGATAAAAATGGTAAATAACTGGCAATTGTAAAATGAAAAGACCAAATGAATATTCATGGTTTTTTAATAAACTTTTATTTTCTCCATTTGATGCTTTACTCAGATGGGCACTCCACCTTGCCGCTGTTGATGTCGTCAATGACATCATGGGGAGGGCGGCCATCGATGGTGCAACCCACAGACTGGGCAGTTCCCAGAATCTCCTTGATGGTTCCTGAGAAAATCAAGGCATTAGGACCAGCAGGGAACCATAGTGTCTACTGTATGGGAAAGGAGCAATTTTGTTCCAGGCCTTTCGGCACAGAGTTGCCCACTGTCTGGGCAGCCCTGTTTCCTAGAGCTGGGTCCATCTTAGCCTCCACTGGACTACACTCAGTCACTCACAGACTGGCAAAGTGGCGGGAGGCAGAGTCATAATAGCAGTTGATGCAACAATGTCGCTCAGGGGATCTTACCAGAGAGCTCCCTGGCAATGGAGCGGGGCCTCATCGTGCGGGCGACTGTCACAATCTCGTCAAAGGTCACGCTGCCGCTGTGCTTGACTGGAAACAAAGATGGAAGGCTTAGAGTACACACAGGATCTATGAATCATCACTAGTAGTAAAACCAGATGGGACAGCTATGTGACTAGATGAATCGTCCTTTCGGCACAGTTGTTCCAGGCCTTTCGGCACAGAGTTGCCCACTGTCTGGGCAGCCCTGTTTCCTAGAGCTGGGTCTATCTTAGCCTCCACTGGACTACACTCAGTCACACAGAAAGACTGGCAAAGTGGCGGGAGGCTGGAATGAGCCCCACTACAGGTTTAACTCAATTAATACAACCACGTGTTTAGAAATGGCATTAAATATCACAGGAAAAAGCTCAGGGAAACTTACTGTTCTTGACCTTCTTCCTGTCACGAGGGGGCTCCTTCAAGGCCTTGATGATCAGTGCTGAAGCAGAGGGCACCACCTCAATCTACAATAGACAGAAAACATGTTAAAACTGGGATGGTTGAAAAAAAATAACATTTCAATGGCCAATCCATTTTCAGGGACTCCGTTTGGGAATAGACTTTGTACGTACCGCTGCCTGCCTGTTCACGATGGTCAGCTTGACAGTGATCCTCAGGCCCTTCCAGTCTCCGGTGGCCTTGGCAATATCGTCACCAACTTTCTTGGGAGACTGAACGCAGAAGCAAAGGAATGTACAGATTTAAAATACAGAAAAAGCTTCAAGCATGACGCTTCAAACAGTGATCAATAGTGACAAATTCAGGGGCAACTGACGACAATGTTGGCATTTGTTCCAGGCCTTTCGGCACAGAGTTGCCCACTGTCTGGGCAGCCCTGTTTCCTAGAGCTGGGTCCATCTTAGCCTCCACTGGACTACACTCAGTCACACAGAAAGACTGGCAAAGTGGCGGGAGGCTGATCTGTAGACAATGGGTAATCAAAAACCAAACCAATAATTTTTTATGGGAGGAATGGAACACTTACCAGACCCAGGGGTCCAATCTTTGGGGCCAGAGCTGAGGTGGCGCCAACTTCTCCTCCTGTGCACCTCATGTACACTGCAAAGGATAAACTGGTTATTTATGAGGGGAAGAACAGTCCTTAAAGTATGAGTTATAGCTCCTTGGTGGTTCATGAGTAAATAGCGTGAACGAATTCGCAAACGAGAGAAAATGTTATTCCGTTAGTATGAGGGCACCATTGTTTCAGGCCTTTCGGCACAGAGTTGCCCACTGTCTGGGCAGCCCTGTTTCCTAGAGCTGGGTCTATCTTAGCCTCCACTGGACTACACTCAGTCACACAGAAAGACTGGCAAAGTGGCGGGAGGCTGGAATGAGCCCCACTACAGGTTTAACTCAATTAATACAACCACGTGTTCAGACTGGCAAAGTAACAGGAGGCTGACTCCTATAGCAGGCGATTAATTGACTGTCCCAATGCTTATGAAGGTATACTATAGAGTTTGACTCTGGGGTGCAAGTGCACCAAAATCCCCATCACATGTATTCCACTATGGTGAATACTGAATTTCTCGGTGCCTATTTATTGCTGTCTGAGAAGTTGCGAGTTAAATAAATTGTTAACTTTCACTGAACTGAATAGTTAAGTTGAAGTGCCAAATATGACAGATGGGGCAAGAAATGCATTTGTGGACCACAATCGGAATGAGGTCTACGTATTAGAGTACAGTAAACGTTACCTACTGAAATTCTGCTGTCAACGCCAAATGCCCATGACGCGCAAGTACCTTTGTGGGGCAGCGCAAACGTGCTCACTTTCACGTAAAGAGGCGACCAAGGAAAAAATTTACACAAGACTCGAAACCTGCCATAAATATTATCCAGGCACAATGCATCACCTGCTAGGTTACTACTTTTAATGTGCTGAAAAGAAATAACGGTGTAAAACCAGTATGCAATGTCCTTTAAGACCCCATGTAGATCAAACAATTAAATTGTGGCAAAACAGAATATAATTTGCTTTAAAATATGCCTGAGCATTATATGCGAGCATGTATTCTATCCTGCCCATCTTTCAGATTAATGGCAATAAATTGGTTGTATTTGGTATTCAAACTGAAATCGCTACCTAATATTTCTATATCCTACACGTGTCAGCTTGTTACTTGAAACCACGTGGTGGCAGCTGAGCCGCAGATACTTGGCTAAACCAACATTAGCATCATGGAATGAATGGGCTAACGCTACATTACTAGCGGCAGCACCTAAAAATAGTTTCTCAACAGAATCGCATTTCATGCCATGTTCACCATTACGCATTCACAGTTACGTTCAAGAGAAATGAGTTGTTCATCCTAACTAACGTTACCATTTCATCAGCTCATTGCTGAAAGGCCTGCCCCTGCATGGATGCGCCAGACAGAAGTCGACTCCATTTTGGATCTCATCTGAAACAAACAATTTTACAGTAGATGCCACACATACCAACTTTAGTCTCATTGGGGTCGAATTTGGGAGGCATGATGCTGCAGTAGAAGTTGAGCTCAGTTCAGCTTGAGTTGGTGAGGGTGTCGGATGAACCCGGATTCGGGACGACCGATTACTGTTACACCTTCACCGCTAAAGTGATAAAGGAAAGAACGAGAATGGGGTGCGTGACAATTTATAGAGAGAGAATAACGCGAGATTTTGCCGAAATGACGCTCTGTCATGCCTGGACTTCATTCACACAGTGGATGAGCTAGGGCTGGACCAATGGTCAGTACTATCTGGGATCCTTGGGACGTCCCTACCCTAAACCCTAAGCTTCCTCATACCAATACAACAGATCAATGAGACAGATATTTCACCGGGCGTATAAATGTGAAGCATCCGCTTGGCATTTCCACTCACTGCCAAATATGATACTGAGAGGAAGCCCAGTGGCCGGCAGTGGGAGAAGATGGAACAACATGGATATTTTGTATTTTTTTCTCACCTTTATTTAACCAGGTAAGCCAGTTGAGAACAAGTTCTCATTTACAACTGCGACCTGGCCAAGATAAAGCAAAGCAGTGCGATAAAAACAACAACACAGAGTTACATATGGGGTAAACAAAACATAAAGTCAAAAATACAAACAGAAAATATACAGTGTGTGCGAATGTAGTAAGTTATGGAGGTAAGGCAATAAATAGGCCATAGTGCAAAATAGTTACAATTTCGTATTAACACTGGAATGATAGATGTGCAAAAGATGATGTGTAAATAGAGATACTGGGGTGCAAAATAAATAACAATATGGGGATGAGGTAGTTGGGTGGGCTAATTTCAGAATGGCTGTGTACAGGTGCAGTGATCGGTAAGCTGCTCTGACAACTGATGCTTAAATAAGAGTCGATTAGCCGATTTTTGTTAATTTTCTCATCGATGAAACATTTGATCTCAATACAATTTTCTGTTCCCAAAACTCATATGTTACGAATAGAGTGGACTAAATTTTGTATACTTTACCCTTTGCCAAAGTTTTAAAAAATAGCGTGGTTTAGAAGGAGTGCAAAGACAAATTGAGTTATTGCACACGCGCACTTCACAAAGTAGGCGTTCCCTAACGGAAATATGCACGTGTATGCTAGAACGCGCCAATAGGATCTCACTAGCTCGTACTTGGCTCTGCCCACCTCCTTGCTTGTTCTGCCCACTATGACTCATTTGTTCCCATTTGAAACGACGGGCTGTGGTTTATCTTGATTTAGTTATACAAATCTTTGCCCATACCCTTACCCTAACCTAATCCTAACCTTAACCCTTACCATTTAAAATGTCAACTTTAATGGCGTAGGGACGTCCCAAAGATTCCGGATAGCACGGACCCTGGACCAATGATGCATTGGGCTGGAACACAGTCACTGAGGTGGTTCGATTAATCCCGCCCGGGCGCCCGTGTAGGGGTGTTTTGCATCGGCTGAAAGTTGATAACATTCAATTAGGAACAGGGCTGCCGGGCGTGAGCAAGGTGTCCTGTTCAAAGCCCACTGCGAAGTCGGCTCAAAACAAAAATGACGTAATTAAGCACGTGCAGTAATTACTAGGATTCTGTGTTTTCCCATGTAAAAGTGATTTGTTTTTTTATAAAAACGCTTTATATGCCTTCCCAATGAAAACTAGTTAGAAAATTCAAACGTATTTTATGGTAAATAGATGTATGTTTCTGGACGATGCACCATGCTGCCTTGTTAACAAAATGACGGAGCCGCACAAATTACTGTTCGATTTGAGAGGGGCATGCCTCTCTCCCCGTTTTGGCGCGATGACGTGACGGGCCTATGCACCGTGCCCCGCGGCTCAGCATAGTCGAATCCGCCCATTGGGCTGGACTCATTTTGACAACGGCAACACTAAACATAAACAGACTAACAGAAGAACCATCCAATAAAAACAGCAAACTATATTTCTCTATTGGAATATCGACCGTACTCAACGATATATTCAGACTCCGACTCGGATTTATCACAAAACTAGTCGTATCTAATTAAAGGTTTGTCCAAAACGACTAAACCGAAAGCTAACGTTCGCTAGTTAGCAGCTAAATCCTACTTTAGAAAACTGGTAACTCGTTAGCTAGCTAATGTTAGCTTACTTTAGGTAGCTAGCATACATAATTGGAAGAATTTGCTCTGTCAACAGGATTGTTGCTAGCTAAATTAGCTATATTATACTATATAATGGCATTCAGCTGGCTAAACTAGCTAGCAAGCTAGAAGTCCTTCTAACCTTTAGATACGACAACTGTAATGTTTTGTTGCTACAGTAGCGTATTTTGGCAACAGCACATGTGTTGTGATTTTGTTGGTTTCTGTGTCTTTAAGTGGATAGAGAGAGCAGTCTTATGATCTATATTCAATATAGTTCATAGGCCTAACTGTTATGTATTGACATATGACTACTAAACGAGAGTAAGCTGAAAACTGGTTATGTAAACCATAACAATGTATTTTTCTATCCCACAGTATTGGTGAGACTGATATCTCCACACTGGTCATTTCACACCTCAAGCCATCTGCCCTCTGCTCGGAGTTAAATACCCGAGAGGAGGGGGCACAAATTCAGCCTCATACAGACAAAGGGACGGGCAGACATATATATATATATATATATATATATATAGACAGACAGACTGGCAGAAGGACAGACAGGCCTCAGGATGCCTCTGTTCTTCAGAAAGAGGAAGCCCAGTGAGGACTCCAAGAAGCGTCTGGAGTATCAACTGTGCCTGGTAGGAGCTTTATCTCTCTGTGTGTGTGTATGTGAGTAATTCGGGCCTTGAAGTCAGCAGCACTTTTGGTTTTCATCCTCCCTCTCTTGACAGGGACGGATTCCGACCTGGGAGACCAGGGCCTGTATTTACAAAGTGCCTCACAGAAAGAGTGCTGATCTAGGATCAGGTCCCCCATGTCTTGTTCATTATGATCTAAAAAGCAAAACTATTTGGTGTTGTTTTATAAAAACTTGAAAGGGGGAGTTGCCTTGCAAGCCTCTCTGGGTTTTCTACCTCTCCTGCACATGCTCTTTTCATTTGCCTTTTAAACTCTCATCATATTGTTTTGTTTTCTCTTGTATGCAAATAAATACAATAATAAAACTGATCCTAGATCAGTACTCATACATTGTGAATACAGGCCCTGGTAAGTGGACTCTAGACAAATAATTAACTAGGCGGGAGAAAATAACTAACAGTACTGCATTCCTTGAGGCCCAGATCCAAATATCACAAAAAGAGGGTTTTGTACACACATCCAAAATAACAGTAGCTGGACAAAAGGAATGTGTACAAAAAAGGAATGTCCAAATTGCCGATGATTTTTTTCGCCTTAAAACATTTTAAACAATCACCTTTGGGAGCAGCAAAACAGTGAGTGGACATTCCCTCTCTTCTATGTACCAGATCAGAATACCCTCCTTGATCCATACTGACATCTTGCATTGACATCTTCTTTCTTTGTCAGTCTAAAGAGGTAGGGGCTGGTGACATTCTGGACATCTCTGCTTGTGAGCTCACAGAGGTAAGTGTGATGTAGGCCTACAACAGTGCATAGGTGTGTAGTATAGCAGGTATTAATGATCAATTAACGCTCAAGTCATGTTGAAAATGGAGGACAGGAGAATGTAAGACCCTTTTTGTGGGCTATCTTGTAGCCTAGTCAACACTAAAAGTTCCCTGTGTGCCTTGAAGTATACCAAGTTCTTCAAAGTAAAATCTAATCTCTGAAATGACAGCAGTACTATCAGCATCATGTAGCTATTAGATAACATAGATGGTCTTGTTAAACATGAAGAGTAAAACATCTGTCTGGTGGCGGCAGGTAGCTTAGTGGTTAAGAGCGTTGTGCCAGTAACCGAAAGGTCGCTGGTTCTAATCCCTGAGCCGACTAGGTGAAAAATCTGTCGATGTGCCCTTGAGCAAGGCACTTAACCCTAATTGCTCCTGTAAGTCGCTCTGGATAAGAGCGTCTGCTAAATGAATAAAATGTAAAATGTAAATGTAATGGTGTTCCCTCTGCCCAGGTTCCAACCAGTGCGTTCTCCATATGCAAGGTGCTACAGAAGAAGGTATGACTACCAATTATATGTGGAAGTCTGGGTCGATAAAGGAACTTGATGAATTTATTTTAATGTCACTTTCTGAATTTACTGAATGGAATTGACCTAAACTCTGGCTTATAGGTTACAGAGTGCAGAAGTGTTGCTCTTTAGAACACTGGTAAGCCAATCACATCCCTGTGTCTTTCTTTGCTCTACCAAGGTCTTCATTCTCCATGGAAACCAGCTGAAGTCCATGGTGCCCAAAGGCTGTTGCATCAACTTTCTGGTCACACTAAAGGTTTGAAGACAAAACATTGCATTGGACAAAGTAGGCATTACCTACCCTGTATAGGACACAGTAGGCCTAAGCATTGCATAGGACAAAAACATCATAGGACTAAAGAAGCGAGGTATGGACAAAGGGAGCATTACATTAGACACTGGTAGTATTAGAGAGGGCAAAATCAGCACAAAGGACAAATCAAACACATGACTCATTACGTTGGAAAAAACAAACATTAGAAATTCCAATCAGTATACTCTCTTTCTCCAAATGAATTCTTGTTATTAGTCGATCGCTATGTTGATTTAGAGATATTACGAGTTGAAGGCACTAGTATTTTTGTTGACTGGATTTGAGACATTTGATGAGTTGTGTTTGACCTAATAAGCATAAGGGGTTAGTTAGTCAATGACTTACCCATAACTACCTGCATGATTCAGCAAACCTTCAATCAGATGACTCCTTCCCAACGAGTTATATCATTTTTCTTTCTTTCCTTCTTTCTTTCCTCTCTCCCGCTCCATTTCTCATAGGTGTTGGATTTGCACGAGAACAAGCTGACCTCCCTCCCTGATGACATAGGGCAACTGGCATCCCTGCAGGTCAGATCATTATACATATAATGGCCTTTAAATCTAGAATCCTTAAATAAAACAATAAGAAATTGTGCTCCCCTCCCGTTTCGCTAAAAAGCTGAGGGATGGCGCTGGAGAAATGTAACCTCTCTCATAGTCATAGACAGAGCTATGGATGCAAGGACTGACCATCCATGATATCAAATGTATAATTTTAACCATACTTTGAGGCTATACAGTGTTTTTTTTACAATTACGTTGCTTACAAACATTGGAGTTAAACAAGCTTAGACAATGCCTTGCAAAAGTATTCATCCCCCTTGTTGTTTTTCCTATTTTGTTGCATTACAACCTGTAATTTAAATGGATTTTTATTTGGATTTCATGTAATGGACATACACAAAATAGTCCAAATTGGTGACGTGAAATGAAAAAATTAACTTGTTTCAAAAAAAAATCTAAAAAACAAATTATGGAAAAGTGGTGCGTGCATATGTATTCACCCCCTTTGCTATGAAGCCCCTAAATAAGATCTGGTGCAACCAATTACCTTCAGAAGTCACATAATTAGTTAAATAAAGTCCACCTGTGTGCAATCTAAGTGTCACATGATCTCAGTAAATATACACCTGTTCTGAAAGGCCCCAGAGTCTGCAACACCACTAAGCAAGGGGCACCACCAAGCAAGTGGCACCATGAAGACCAAGGAGCTTTCCAAACAGGTCAGGGACAAAGTTGTGGAGAAGTACAGATCAGGGTTGGGTTATAAAAAAAATATCAAACTTTGAACGTCCCACAGAGCACCATTAAATCCATTATTAAAAAATGGAAAGAATATGGCACCACAACAAACCTGCCAAGAGAGGGCCGCCCACCAAAACTCACGGACCAGGCAAGGAGGGCATTAATCAGAGAGGCATCAAAGAGACAAAGACAACCCTGAAGGAGCTGCAAAGCTCCACAGCGGAGATTGGAGTATCTGTCCATAGGACCACTTTAAGCCGTACACTCCACAGTGCTGGGTTTTATGGAAGAGTGGCCAGAAAAAAGCCATTGCTTACAGAAAAAAATAAGCAAACACGTTTGGTGTTCGCCAAAAGGCATGAGGGAGACTCCCCAAACATATGGAAGAAGGTACTCTGGTCAGATGAGACTAAAATTGAGCTTTTTAGTCCCCTGTAGCTCAGTTGGTAGAGCAGGCGCTTGCAACGCCAGGGTTGTGGGTTCGTTTCCCACGGGGGGCCTGTATGATAAAATGACTAAATCAAGGAAAACGCTATGTCTGGCGCAAACCCAACACCTCTCATCACCCCGAGAACACCATCCCCACAGTGAAGCATGGTGGTGGCAGCATCATGCTGTGGGGATGTTTTTCATCGGCAGGGACTGGGAAACTGGTCAGAATTGAAGGAATGATGGATGGTGCTAAATACAGGGAAATTCTTGAGGGAAACGTGTTTGTCTTCCAGAGATTTGAGACTGGGACGGAGGTTCCCCTTCCAGCAGGGCAATGACCCTAAGCATACTGCTAAAGCAACACTCTAGTGGTTTAAGGGGGGAAACCTTTAAATGTCTTGGAATGGCCTAGTCAAAGCCCAGACCTCAATCCAATTGAGAATCTGTGGTATGACTTAAAGATTGCTGTACACCAGCGGAACCCATCCAACTTGAAGGAGCTGGAGCAGTTTTGCCTTGAAGAATGGGCAAAAATCCCAGTGGCTAGATGTGCCAAGCTTATAGAGACATACCCCAAGAGACTTGCAGCTGTAATTGCTGCAAAAGGTGTCTCTACAAAGTATTGACTTTGGGGGGGTGAATAGTTATGCACGCTCAAGTTTTCTTTTTCTTTGTCTTATTTCTTGTTTTTTTCACAATGAATAATATTTTGCATGTTGTGTAAATCAAATTATAAAACCCCCCCAAAAATCAAATTTAATTCCAGGTTGTAAGGCAACAAAATAGGAAAAATGCCAAGGGGGGTGAATACTTTCGCAAGCCACTGTAGTTTGTGTTCTAATGGGGTACGACAGTTGAACTAAACTAATGAGGCATTTAGAAGTTATATTCTTTAAGAATCAATGGGTATATATCATTAATTTATAAGTCCAAAAATGGATGTAGCAAATAAGGATTCTAGCTTTTAATAACAGAAGGATATCAATGGAATCGTACTGTACCTAAATGGATGCTCACCATTTTGTATCCTCCTCTTAGGTGCTGAATATAGAAAATAACCAGATCAAGACCCTGCCGGACTCCATTGGGGATCTCAGACTTCTGCAGACCCTCAATGTGAAAGGTTTGTTTACCTTTGGTCTGAATGGGGTAGCCGTCCAGGGGTAGCCAACTTAGGAAGTATATTTTATTCAGGAAAAGGATGGATGGATTTTGACTTAGTTTGAATAGGATACGGATGATTGATTTGTAGGCGTATGTGTCTGTCTGTATGGCATTGTGTGTGTGTGTGTGTGTGTGTGTGTGTGTAAAGTACTTTCTGTCTTCCTTTATAGGTAATTGTCTAAGTCAGCTGCCTTCCTCTGTGGGCCGTATGAGCAGCCTGCGCACACTTGACCTAAGTGAGAACAGTGTGAGGGAGTTACCCCGGGACCTGGCACTGGCACGCACTCTAGAGGTGTGTGTGTGTACTCGTACATTGCCAGAAGTAATGTTGCTTTATTGTAATAACACTCATTTACATTCTGTATGCTGTTAACAACCGGTGTGTGTTCTCACACCAGAGCCTGACCCTGGACGCTGCTCTGATGTCCTACCCCCCTGCCTCGGTGTGTACCACGGGGACTGAGGACATCCAACGCTTCCTCTGCACTGGTGAGTTATAAAAGTACTATTAGTATAGTGTTGCTCAGACAATTTAGGTGGAATTGCAACGTAGACATGTGGTCCCTACTGTACTATAAAACAATCTTATAGTACAATTATTACATAACTACAGTACTACTGATTCAGACCAATAAAAACACCCCAAACAAACTTGGTCTGAAAATGGCAACAGAACATGACTTGATAAGCATAAGGAAGTCCCATGTCAAGCCAGAGGAAATTCAGTCAAAACACTCACTTCTACCCACTTAATTACCCACTTTGTCTCATCTGTCTGTGTGTGTGTGTGTGTGTGTGTGTTGACAGAGCTGGGGGAGGAGTACTGCCCCCCGTCTCAGTTCCTGCTGCCCGTGCTGGAGAGTGACTCAGGGAAGCAGAGCTCGGACAATGTGGACAGCCTGGAGGTGGCCTGGCAGGTGAGTGCTGGCCCGGGGTGTCACCCGGCAGCCATCTTAGTTCTGTGGAGTAGCCATTCTATAGAGGAACATACACAGAGCCTTCCACAGAGCCATGAAGGAGCGCTCTCTCTCTCTTTTACAAACACATGAAAGCACACACACACACACACACACCATGACACGGACACACACACATTTCACATTTCACATCTCAATTGAATTGCGGTCAGTTCAGATCAGCTTAGAGTAGCAGGGTAGCAGCAATCTCATTAGTAGTGATTTCTTTCCATTATTGTCATAACTGTCTGACTGATTACATTGCTTGTTTCCCTGTCTCTCCATTTGCAGAGTAAGTTCAATGACTTGGAGAAGAGAAAGGTACTGTAGGAGACTTTCCTTTTAGCACTTTCTATCGTCACGCAATGGTTGATGACTCAAAGTTGATGACCCAGTCGCTATCACGTGTCTCCTCTCTCTCTCTCTCTCACGTGCACACACACACATACACATACACACAGGAGCAGAAGCACCAGGAGAAACTGGCATTTGAGCGTCAGCTGGAGGAGAAGCAGAAGGAGCACCACCAGCTCCTCCTCATGAACAACTCCCACAAGGAGAACATCCTGCTGTCTGTCAGACAGGTGACTGCTGGGCACGCACAACACACACACACAAGCTCTAATATAGAAACCATCACAGTCATTGTAAAGACCCTTGGACAGTCCATAATAGTCTTTAGCCTTCAGTGGCAGCCTTAATTTGAACTTAATTTAGTATAAGACTACATATGCCTTACTACATATGCCCCCTAATGCTGTCGCCCCAAAATATATACAGTACCAGTCAAAAGTTTAGACACACCTACTCATTCAAGGGTTTTTCTTTATTTTTTACTGTTTTCTACATTGTAGAATAATAGTGAAGACATCAACACTATGAAATAACACATATGGAATAATGTAGAAACCAAAAAACTGTTAAACAAATCAAAATATATTTTATATTTGAGATTCTTCAAAGTAACCACCCTTTGCCTTGATGACAGCTTTGCACACTCTTGGCATTCTCTCAACCAGCTTCATGAGGTAGTCACCTAGAATGCATTTCAATTAACAGGTGTGACTTCTTAAAAGTTAATTTGTGTAATTTCTTTCCTTAATGCGTTTGAGCCAATCAGTTGTGTTGTGACAAGGTAGGGGGGTATACAGAAGATAGCCCTATTTGGTAAAATACCAAGTCCATATTATGGCAAGAACAGCTCAAATAAGCAAAGCGAAATTGCATTCCATCATTACTTTAAGACATGAAGGTCAGTCAATACGGAACATTTCAAGAACTTTGAAAGTTTCTTCAAGTGCAGTCGCAAAATCCATCAAGCGCTATGATGAAACTGGCTCTCATGAGGACCGCCACAGGAAAGGAAGACTCAGAGTTACCCTGCTGCAGAGGATAAGTTCATTAGAGTTCCCAGCCTCATAAATTGCAGCCCAAATAAATGCTTTAGAGTTCAAGTAACAGTCACATCTCAATGTCAATTGTTCAGAGGGGACTGTGAATCAGGCCTTCATGGTCGAGTTGCTGCAAAGAAAGCACTACTAAAGGACACCAATAATAAGAAGAGACCTGCTTGGGCCAAGAAACATGAGCAATGGACATTAGACTGGTGGAAATGTGTCCTTTGGTCTGGAGTCCAAATGTGAGATTTTTGGTTCAAACCACTGTGTCTTTGTGAGACGCGGTGTGGGTGAACGGATGATCTCCGCATGTGTAGTTCCCACCATGAAGCATAGAGGAGGAGGTGTTATGGTGTGGGGGTGCTTTGCTGGTGACACTGTGGGATTTATTTATAATTCAAGGTACACTTAACCAGCATAGCTACCACAGCATTCTGCAGCGATACGCCATCCCATCTGGTTTGGGTTTAGTGGGACTATCATTTGTTGTTCAACAGGACAGTGACCCAACACACCTCCAGGCTGTGTAAGGGCTATTTGACCAAGAAGGAGAGTGATGGAGTGCTGCATCAGATGACCTGGCCTCCACAATCCCCGACCTCAACCCAATTGGGATGAGTCAGACTGCAGAGTGAAGGAAAAGTAGCCAACAAGTGCTCAGCATATGTGGGAACTCCTTCAAGACTGTTGGAAAAGCATTCCAGGTGAAGCTGGTTAAGAGAATGCCAAGAGTGTGCAAAGCTGTCATCAAGGCAAAGGGTGGCTATTTGAAGAATCTCAAATATAAAATATATTTTGATTTGTTTAACACTTTTTTGGTTACTACATGATTCCATATGTGTTACTTCATAGTTTTGATGTCTTCACTATTATTCTATAATGTAGAAAACAGTAAAAATATAGAACAACCCTTGAATGAGTAGGTGTGTCCAAACTTTTGACTGGTACTGTGTATACAGTGGGGAAAAAAAGTATTTAGTCAGCGACCAATTGTGCAAGTTCTCCCACTTAAAAAGATGAGAGAGGCCTGTAATTTTAATCATAGGTACACGTCAACTATGACAGACAAATTGAGGAAAAAAAATCCAGAAAATCACATTGTAGGATTTTTAATGAATTTATTTGCAAATGATGGTGGAAAATAAGTATTTGGTCACCTACAAACAAGCAAGATTTCTGGCTCTCACAGACCTGTAACTTCTTCTTTAAGAGGCTCCTCTGTCCTCCACTCGTTACCTGTATTAATGGCACCTGTTTGAACTTGTTATCAGTATAAAAGACACCTGTCCACAACCTCAAACAGTCACACTCCAAACTCCACTATGGCCAAGACCAAAGAGCTGTCAAAGGACACCAGAAACAAAATTGTAGACCTGCACCAGGCTGGGAAGACTGAATCTGCAATAGGTAAGCAGCTTGGTTTGAAGAAATCAACTGTGGGAGCAATTATTAGGAAATGAAAGACATACAAGACCACTGATAATCTCCCTCGATCTGGGGCTCCACGCAAGTTCTCACCCCGTGGGGTCAAAATGATCACAAGAATGGTGAGCAAAAATCCCAGAACCACACGGGGGGACCTAGTGAATGACCTGCAGAGAGCTGGGACCAAAGTAACAAAGCCTACCATCAGTAACACACTACGCCGCCAGGGACTCAAATCCTGCAGTGCAAGACGTGTCCCCCTGCTTAAGCCAGTACATGTCCAGGCCCGTCTGAAGTTTGCTAGAGTGCATTTGGATGATCCAGAAGAGGATTGGGAGAATGTCATATGGTCAGATGAAACCAAAATAGAACTTTTAGGTAAAAACTCAACTCGTCGTGTTTGGAGGACAAAGAATGCTGAGTTGCACCATACCTACTGTGAAGCATGGGGGTGGAAACATCATGCTTTGGGGCTGTTTTTCTGCAAAGGGACCAGGACGACTGATCCGTGTAAAGGAAAGAATGAATGGGGCCATGTATCGTGAGATTTGGAGTGAAAACCTCCTTCCATCAGCAAGGGCATTGAAGATGAAACGTGGCTGGGACTTTCAGCATGACAATGATCCCAAACACACCGCCCGGGCAACGAAGGAGTGGCTTCGTAAGAAGCATTTCAAGGTCCTGGAGTGGCCTAGCCAGTCTCCAGATCTCAACCCCATAGAAAATCTTTGGAGGGAGTTGAAAGTCCGTGTTGCCCAGCGACAGCCCCAAAACATCACTGCTCTAGAGGAGATCTGCATGGAGGAATGGGCCAAAATACCAGCAACAGTGTGTGAAAACCTTGTGAAGACTTACAGAAAACGTTTGACCTGTGTCATTGCCAACAAAGGGTATATAACAAAGTATTGAGAAACTTTTGTTATTGACCAAATACTTATTTTCCACCATAATTTGCAAATAAATTCATTAAAAATCCTACTATGTGATTTTCTGGAATTTTATTTCTCATTTTGTCTGTCATAGTTGACGTGTACCTATGATGAAAATTACAGGCCTCTCTCATCTTTTTAAGTGGGAGAACTTGCACAATTGGTGGCTGACTAAATACTTTTTTTCCCCACTGTATGTATATGTATATATATATGTGTGTGTATATGTGTGTGTATTTCAAAAATACAATTTTATTGAGAATGTTTTTATTGGTTTCTTTTCATTTTGATAAGAGATGTTATTTGTGGATGTAAAAATCGAAATTTACCGATTTTAAGATTGTGCCATTAGATTTGGGGTCGAGTCGCGAGAAATTCTTGGGGGAAAAATTGGGTCCCCAGAAACTCTAGCGGAAGAAACGGGTTCCCCGCTGAAAAAGTTTGAATACCATTTACATTTACATTTTAGTCATTTAGCAGACGCTCTTATCCAGAGCGACTTACAGTTAGTGAGTGCATACATTATTATTTTTTTATTTTTCATACTGGCCCCCCGTGGGAATCGAACCCACAACCCTGGCGTTGCAAACGCCATGCTCTACCAACTGAGCTACATCCCTGCCGGCCATTCCCTCCCCTACCCTGGACGACGCTGGGACAATTGTGCGCCGCCCCATGGGTCTCCCGGTCGCGGCCGGCTACGACAGAGCCTGGATTCGAACCAGGATCTCTAGTGGCACAGCTAGCACTGCGATGCAGTGCCTTAGACCACTGCCGTACTACTGTATGTCAGAGAATGTAGAGTTGAGCAGGCCAATCCTTTACTCCCTGCCTCGGCACTTCTCTTCCCCTCTAGAGGACATACCTTGATGAAGGCATTCGCTGAAACGCGTTGGATTTAATAATGAAATATTTATTTTCAAAGCGAACTTTCATTGTCCTACTAAAAGTTGTAATACAGTACTTGCTTTATTGGTCCATTTGCACAGATCTTATTTATTTGTACTGTCACAGTACACAGCAGCGCCAAGCAGCGCCCCTGGAGCACTTAGGGGTGAAGTGCCTTGCTCAAGGGCACAACGGCGGTAGGTAGTCATGTCTTTTCTTCTCCCCCTCTCCAGGAGCAGGAGCGTCTGGAGCTAGGCGTGTCGGTGCAGCAGAGGTTCCAGGAGGTTGAGAGGCAGAGGATTCTGGGTAAGGTCCGCCAGGCCGAGACGGGCATCGCTAGCCGCATCAGCAACCTGCTACTGGACAGCAAACGGTGAGGAATAGAGAGAGAGAGAGAGAGAGAGAGAGGGAGGGAGGAAGGGAAGGAGAGAGGGGAGGTGAGTGTGTGAGAGAGAAAGAGAGCGTGAGAGTGTGTGTGTGTGCACACGTTTGTGTCCACTTTTATTACGAGTAAACCTGGTAATAAGATGCAGAAAAGAAGGAGACGTATTCAAGATCCTCAACCTAAAAATAATGGATGATGACATTTGTTAAAATGTATCATTAATCTTGATATTGTGGTCTTGGTCTTGAGACCACGTAAATGCGGTCTGGGTCTTAGTCTCAGCTAATGGTCTCAAACAAGACCATGGTGTTGGTATTAAACTTCATAACATATTTTTGTCAGTGTTCTGTGGCTAAATGGGGGTGACATAGCACACAATTGCCAGGGTAACTTGGTTCACTAATGTGGCATCTGGGTGGGCATTAAAACAGGTCTATTTGACCTTTTAAGATGCTTGATCCAGGGCTGGGTTTTGTTTTTCCACATTTAAACTGGTCTTGGTATCGTCATGATCTCAATACACTGGGCTCTGCATCCAAATGGCACCCTATTCCCTATGTAGTGCACTACTTTTGACCAGGAGTTGTGGACTATATAGGGAATAGGGTGCCATTTGGGCTGCAATCTGGGTCTTGAGAGGCTGGGCGTGGGTCTCAAGCGCTCTCGTCTTGAGTCCATCTCCGATTGACCCTCTGTGTGTGTCTGTGTGTGTGTGTGTCTTTTCAGACAAAGAAAGAGTGCAGAGTTTCTCCAACAGTTGGAGGAGGACCGGTAAGTGGGAGAGAGCCTTTCTTATCGATCCACCCTGACTGGAGCAATCCATCTATGATCCTAGAAGCTAAAAAGATTACAGCTCTTACACTGACTGAGGCACTCAACGATCTGACTCGTATTCCCGAGTGGCGCAGTGGTCTAAGGCACTGCATCGCAGTGCTAGCTGTGCCACAAGAGATCCTGGTTCGAATCCAGGCTCTGTCGTAGCCGGCCGCGACCGGGAGACCCATGGGGCGGCGCACAATTGGCCCAGCGTCGTCCAGGGTAGGGGAGGGAATGGCCGGCAGGGATGGTGTGTTGGTCAGTTGGTAGAGCATGGCGTTTGCAACGCCAGGGTTGTGGGTTCGTTTCCCACGGGGGGCCAGTACAACAAAAAAAAAAATGATGTATGCACTCACTAACTGTAAGTCGCTCAGGATAAGAGCGTCTGCTAAATGACTAAAATGTAAATGTATTCCAAATAGACTGACTATTTATGAACAGTGCCAAATGGAAGCTGCAGGGCAGAATTTCCTTCTAGAATACTTACTCAAATAGAAAAATATTTGTGGATTAAAACGGAATACTGCTGAAAAATAATTGTTGCAGTTTGAGATGTCTTTCTTTCCCTTATTCTGTGCAGGATACGGATGGAGCAACTGACGGCCATCACACAAGAAGAGACAAACTCACTCAGGAAGAGAGAAGTAGCAGGTGAGCATGAGAAATGTGGTCTACAAGAAAAAGTCAAGAGCAAGTTTGGAAGGTCAAGAGCAAGTTTGGAAGGAGGGCAATGTGGATTGAAGCAATAACCTCGGAACGGATTACTATTAGCATAAGGAATGGGGTCTCTCAAAAAGTATTATTTATCTTTCTCTCCCCCTCTCCCTCTCCCTCCCTCTCCAGTGGCCATGCAGAAGATGTTGTCAGAGAGCTGCTCCATGCGTCTGATGCAAGAAGCCAGTGACTCACGCAGACAGAGCCTGGTCACTGAGGCCTGCAGGAGGTCAGTACACACACACACACACACACACACACACACACACACACATATTTGTTTTACTATCCTTGATGGGACCAAACAATTGATTCCCTTTCAAAATGCTATTTTCCTAAACCTGACCCTAATTTTAACCCTAACTCTTAATTCTAATCCTAACCCTAAACCTTACCCCAAAGTCTAAAATAGCCTTTTTCCTTGTGGGGAACGGTGAAATGTCCCCACTTGTCAGAATTGTTCTTGTTTTACTGTCCTTGTGAGGACTTCTGTTCCCCATACGGATAGTAAAACTAAAATAAATACACACACTCTTTATGGATGAGATATTGTTTGGTCTAGTTCTCTGTGAGTACTTTCTGTTTGTAGGAGGTTCCTGTTTAGAAACGCATGTCCAACTTGCTTCCCCTCTCCTCTCGTTGTAGTCTGGAGAGTCAGGACAGGAAGTTCGATCAGGTGCTTTCGCTCCAGCAGCTAGACAAATCCAAAGCCATCGCTTGTATCCTACAGGAGGTAAAATATATTTTTACTGCTATGTGCAACACAAACAGATAGATAGGAAACAAAGATTTACAATATTTTCACAAGCTAATGAGAATGTAAAGTGTTATATGAAACACTTGGTACTGACATTGCAAGGTTGGATCATGCGTTGGAAAGAGCATAGAAACAGGTAGCCGACTAAACTCAACCCCACGATTTATGGTGGAGTTGAGCAGAGACTGGTGGTGGGCAGACTGGACATTTTATGTGACGTTAAAACTCCAGTCTGCCCACATAAGTCACCGCTCAACTCCATCGTAAATCGTGGAAAACAAAGAAACCCAGGCCAGTTGAATGAGCTGACGTTAGTTACTCTCTGTGGCCTGCTACAGGAGGAGATGCAGAAGGCAGCCTTCCAGGCACTGCAGCTGCAGAAGGACAGTGTACATGGCTACATCCAACAACAGGTACCTGTGGTAAAACACACCGTCAACACGCATTCAGTATGAATTCAGTTTCATTTGATTTACACACATTCAGTATGAATTCAGTGTCATTCGTTTTACACACATTCAGTGTCATTCGATATAACATGTTCAGTATAAATTCCGTGGCATTCGATATACACACGTTCAGCATGAATTCCATGTCATTTGATATACATACATTCAGCATGAATTCCATGTCATTCGATATACACACATTCAATATGAATTCAGTGTCATTCGATATAACACACATTCAATGTTTATTTATATAATTAACAGGGACACTACACAATATTCAACAACTCAGGCAATACTGAGGTGTATTAGTCTTGTGTTAGATCTATAGACCCTGGAGTACATTATGATTATTTATTTATTGATGTATTTATTTTTAGTTTTTGACATCTCAAGTATGACGTCTGTATCATTCAATCACACACATTGAATATCAAGGTTTACACCAACTTTAAGCTGTGGAAACCAACTGGGAGCACAGGCTTTTGTTCCAGCACATCACTATCGAACAGCTGATCCCACACAGCCTTTTACGTTGTTTTTATGTTTGGGGAAGACGGCTTGTCTGAAGGTAGAATCATGCGGTTTCCATTTATCCCAGTGCTTTTTGCATTACATGCCATCATCCCCCTACCGAGTTTGCTGGCGGAGCCTCCAGCTCACCTCCTTGTTATGTTCATATGTTTCTAGATCAGGCTAATAGAAGGAGAGTTAATGCAGCTGACTAAACTGGAGGTTAAGAGACACAATCTGGACGCTGAGAACCTGCAGGTACGTCATAGATATAAGCAAATAGTCTGTGACATCACTGACATGTAGCCTAGCGGTTTAGAGCGTTGGGACCGTAACTGATAAATTGCTGGTTTGAATCCCTGAGCCGACCTAGGTGAAACATCTGTCTGTGCCCTTGAGCAAGGCACTTAATCCTAATTGCTCCTGTAAGTCGCTCTGGATAAAGAGCGTCTGCTAAATGACTAAAATGTGTCATGACTATTTTAAGTACACTACAAAACTTGATCCCCTTTGCTTCTATCCTGTCCCTCCCCTGCTTATTTTCTTGAGTATTCTGCCTTGGTTTAGCCCATCCATATCATTCTGCCATGAGTACATTTCATGCCTCTTATTTAAACAGGACAGGGTGGGGGTATTGAGCATGGAAAGACAGCATTATGCATGATGGTATATGACTAATGATTGGGATTATTACCCAAATATTATCTTATTTTCTCTGGTGAACTCATTTAGGTAGGTTAGCGAGCGTTTGTGCATGAGGAACTGCCTGTGCTCTCCTCTGACTGTGTGTGTGTATGGGCCTTCCCTGTGTGTGTGTTCCCCTGTGTGTGCTTACCAGCTTCTTTGTGTGTGTGTGTGTGTAGGAGATGCTGTGGGAGCAGCGTTCGGCCCTCAGTGACCTGCTGCAGCAGTTGCTGAAGGAGAAGGACCAGAGAGAGGTTGAGCTGAGACAGGTCCTCCAGGAGATGGAGCTGAAGAGTGACTCCAACCAGCAGAACTACTGGCTGATCCAGTACCAGAGGCTGCTGGACGCTAAGCCTCTGTCGCTACGCATGCAGGTAGCTACACTACCTTATACCACCATATCATTCACCATAATACACCACCTGTGTGGCTCAGTTGGTAGAGCATGGCGCTTGCAGCACCAGGATTGTGGGTTCGATTTCCACTGGTGCAGCTCATACAATCAAGTCACATAGCATCTGCTATATGGCATATGTTATTATTTTTATATTACCAAAAATTATACACAGAATAACTTAAAGCATTAACTATACTAAGAGCTCTTTAATGAAGGATAATGCCACTGGATTCTTTATCGAATTGTGTCCCCTTCCCCAAAGATATTGAATTGACCTAAACTCTTCTCTGTCTCTCTCAGGAGGCTGGTGTGGAGAGTGACCTGGTCAATCTGCTGTGTAAGCTTTCAGCTCAGCACTACCTCCCCATCCTGGCCCACCACAGAGTCACCTCCGAGGCCCTTCGCCACATGACCACCAAAGACCTCTGCAAGGTGTGTGTGCGAATGAAGTTTGTGTCATGGAATCAACACAGACATGGCAATTCCATAACATATTTTAAAGTTGCTACACATAGGATTTTTATTTTGTATTTTACATTGTAATTTCAGAACATTTCCATAATATGTGTTTCACAGTATTACTTACCCGCCAGTGTTGTAATTGGCTGTGATATTCGCCTATTGATTTCTCCCGCCTGAGCGTCATCTATTGTCAAACTGGGAAAGATGTTCTGACATTGTGGCTGTGTTATCTAGTGGAAATGGCTCTGTCATTTCCTGGTTGCTAAAATTTTACACTGTTCGTTCAATTTCAGTTTATGTAAGAAAACAATCACTGAATAGTTTAGGGAATCATTGTACTATCTACATCACTGTGAAATATATATTTTCAATAACAAAAAATATAGTTTTTACAGCTGTTTGAAGCTGGTGGACCAAAACCGAAAGTTACTGACCAAAACTGAAAGTTGCTTTCGGTTTTGGTCCACCAGCTTCAAAACAGCAGGTTTGGTCCACCAGCTTCAAACAGCTGTAAAAACTATATTTTTTGTTATTGAAAATATATTTCACAGCGATTTAGATCGTACAATGATTCCCTACACTTCAGTGCTTGTTTTCTCACACAAACGGAAATTGTAGATTTTTCAAACACTTTCATTCCACTATTAGCGGCAGATATATTATGGACATTTATATGTGTAGCACCTTAAATGTCAGATGATGGTCTGTGTGTGTGTGTGTGTGTGTGTGTGTGTTCAAATTAATGATTGTCCCCCTCTCCTGCTTTTCCCCCAGCTGGGAATCAATGAGACGGGTATCCAGAAGGCTCTTCTCAACTGGGCCAGGGAGCAGGCCTTCACACCACCTGAAGGTACGTACACACACTGCTTACGGCAAGTCATTTACTGCCCTATGGGGTGATAGAATGTACTACAATTGAATATTTTTATTCATTACTGTGTCACCAAATTCTGTCTCTCTCTCCCCCAGGGGCCTGCAAGGCCGATCCACAGGAAGAGGAAGCTGTCCCGTCACCATCTTCTCCGCCCAGCGCCCCCTTCGAGACACCCACCTCCACCCCTCCGCTGACCCCCGTCAATCCCTCAGCCCCCAGCCCCATAGACAGCCCGGGCAGCTCAGAGTGTGTGGTGTGCATGGAGACAGGGGTAAGCAGGCAGACAGACAGATACTCCAGTTATTTTATTCTGTCTCCCTCTCATTGTGTCTCCTTCTCTCCATCAGTCTCAGGTCATCTTCCTGCCCTGTGGCCACGTGTGCTGTTGCCAGATGTGCAGTGATGCCCTCCAGACCTGCCCCCTGTGTCGCAGCAACATCGCCCAGCACATACGCCTCTACCACGGCTAATGGGACCTTCTTTAAGGGAGGGCCACTAGCACTCTACATGCAGGCTTTTGTTCCAGCCTAGCACTCACTCATTCGATCACTTCATCTTACGCCAGGCAATATCTGCAACTCTTATCATACAAATCTAGGAAATAGCCTGTTTTCTCAGCTTTAACTATCAGTCAACCAGTTTTTATTGATAAACCAAAATCTAGGGCATAGAAATGGAAAAAAGGAAGGAAGGGTGAGTACCTTCTGTACATTATTTTGGGTGATGTGATTAACAGTTGTAAGTAAAGCCATTTATTATAATTTTAAAATAATCACATTTTGTGACCCAAAAGGGACAAGGTCAATGACTGTTAGGCGTGGTGAGGGAGCGATGTCTTGCCTTAGTGAAATAACTGTTTGAGTGACTGTACCTTTCCTTCCTTCTTTTAGAGACCTCTTTGCTCCCTCCTCTTCTCTTCATGGTTTAAATAGTGATTGGTCACCCTTTAAATGCATCATCACACATCTCTATGCGCAGCCATCAAATGGTAACCAATGACACTTTTCTAATCTCTCTCTTTCTCCATTCAAGTGCTCTTATAGTAATTTGTAACATAGCATGCTTCAGGTTATAGGAGACACTTATATTGTACGGTATGATAACATCAAACAATCTGAGTGTTACAAATATGCTGAATATGAAGACATTTAATGATATTCAATTGAAATTGTAATGTGGTGATGTCCGGTAAATAAGTGTTATAATGTTCGGGAAAAACCGGGCCCTGGTCTGGTTAGGCGTCCACCATAGTTGCTGGAATCGTGCAGGACAGGACCATGTCAAAAGAAAATCTGTTTGGTTCGGGTTGGCAAAATATTGTGAAAAGAGTATCAGTGTCTGTTCATGTACCTATCACTTAAAGCTGCTCTAGAATGTAAATATCTACAGAAAAATATATAGAATATATCCTTTCATTTGTGTGTAAACAGCTTTTATGTGGCAGTGTCAAATAATAGTCACACTGCATACCATAGCATGTTATATACACACGGCTGTTTTAATATATAATTATTGCATAGATTGTTCAATTTCCTTCCAATAGTGTATTTCCTAAAAATACAGTTCGATCAAACGAAATGGGCAGATAAAAGATATGTGTGGATGTCATTTGATGCAGTGGGCATAGCCTGGTACCGTGCCTAGTATCAAGACTCTCTCTCTCTCTCTCTCTCTCTCTCTCTCTCTCTCTCTGTGTGTGGAGAGTGACATCTTCATTCCAACATAGTATGTTCTCTATCAAACATACTTCTTTCTATGCCTTAAATGCTGAACTTTCTAGAGGTTGAACCACTTCAGTCGATTTCATGTATACTTCGTTCGTTACTTAAATGGAGCACTGTTTTGATTACCAATGTTAAGTATGGGTTGTCATCACTTAGGTAACACTCAGTATCCTGCTATAACACTATCATAGGAATTTATGCATTCATGCATTAAAAGAAAGCATGTTCATGTAGCCTTGCTTATTGAATTATTTCATGCTATGCCAAGCATGGTCACTTTTGTGGCAATGTTATGGCAGGATACGTGGAGTAACGGGTTACTGTCACTTCTCTTCGCTAGTACATTAGTTTGATGTAAAAAACCGATGCAAATAAAATCTGCTCTACCCTTTTCTTGGTTTCTGATTTGACAGTTCATCATTTGACTCTTATTGAATTCAATTCATTCATGTAATTTAATGTACAGACATTTATTAAATAACATTTTTTTTTTACTGCATTTTGATTGTACTCTGATCGCAAATCAAACAATGTGAAAGTTAGTTTGACAGTTCAGGAATTCATGTCTGAATTAGAATATCATTTAATGAACCTTTTTTAGAATTACAAAACAAAAAACTAAATGTTTTATGAAGTTGTAGGGACAAGTGTTTTAAAAATATTTTGTAGCTGCCCTGAGCAGAATAATACTGAATGTGTTAAAGTAACTGTCCAGTGAACATCTCCCTTTTAAAAGTTAAGAGAATATTAACTCATACCCAAATAATGTTGTTGACTTGTCCTATACTCGTATGTGGGCAAAGCATTAAAAAAACTCAAACTTGTATCAAGCAGACCTTTTCAAAAATGCTTGCTATTTCCTCAGTATGTCATACGCCGGAGGATGATCTGGCCAATCAGTGGCCTACTCACATTAATAATGAGGGGATTCAATTATCTGGCCCGGGTTACCCCAGTGGGAGGGGTTTACACCAGATTGCATTCGTTTTGGAACCAGGCTGCCTCCCCGGGCGTGAGCCAGGTGCCAATTTCAAAGCCCATGGTGAAGTCGGCTCAAAACAAAAGTGACATAGCCTAGGCTAGTTTAAGTACTTGGAGTAATGAGTAGGATTCTGTGTTTTGACATGCAAAAGGGATTGCTTTTGATAAAAATGCATTCTGCCTTCCCAATGAAAACTAGTTTGAAATTCAAACATATTTTATGGAAAAGAGATGGTGTATGTTTCTGGACAATGCACCATGCTGTCTTGTTGCCAAGATGACCGAACAGCGCAGATTACTGTTAGATTTGAGAAGGGCGCTCCTCCCTCACCGCTTTTGCCTGTTCACGTCATGTGCCATAGACCGGTGCACCGCGGCTCAGGCTAATAAAACTCCCAAATTTTTTATGACCAGTATATGCCCACGCCATTATGGTTGTTGGGGTACGCCAACACCATTCCAACACAAAAAAAGCAGATTTTTAACATGCTTGAATACAATTTTTTGAAGGACGACTATTTCACTCATATTGAAAGTAATTATAGGTCTAATTTCATAGAAATTTGGAAATTCTGGAAAGTTGCTTTAAAAGATAGCATTCCAGAAGAGAGGATAAAACATGTATTATTTAACAATACTATTTTGCTTTGGTTCATTATACAGTAGAAACATTAAAAACTAGTAGGCACTGATTCATTTTCAGACCGTTTTCTTCAATTTGGTGGCTAATAACACAACCCCTGTTCTTTCCAATGATGGATATAAACCCTAGATTGCTAATTCTATGAGAGGCTTTGGCGCCACCGCTCGGCCATATTGGTAATCCTCAGGAGAAGCAGTCCTCCATAGGGATTAATGGAATTCTACACCTATTGAAGTATATACAGTGGGGGAAAAAGTATTTAGTCAGCCACCAATTGTGCAAGTTCTCCCACTTAAAAAGATGAGAGAGGCCTGTAATTTTCATCATAGGTACACGTCAACTATGACAGACAAATTGAGAATAAAAAAAATCCAGAAAATCACATTGTAGGATTTTTAATTAATTTATTTGCAAATTATGGTGGAAAATAAGTATTTGGTCACCTACAAACAAGCAAGATTTGTCTCTCACAGACCTGTAACAACTTCTTTAAGAGGCTCCTCTGTCCTCCACTCGTTACCTGTATTAATGGCACCTGTTTGAACTTGTTATCAGTATAAAAGACACCTGTCCACAACCTCAAACAGTCACACTCCAAACTCCACTATGGCCAAGACCAAAGAGCTGTCAAAGGACACCAGAAACAAAATTGTAGACTTGCACCAGGCTGGGAAGACTGAATCTGCAATAGGTAAGCAGCTTGGTTTGAAGAAATCAACTGTGGGAGCAATTATTAGGAAATGGAAGACATACAAGACCACTGATAATCTCCCTCGATCTGGGGCTCCATGCAAGATCTCACCCCGTGGGGTCAAAATGATCACAAGAACGGTGAGCAAAAATCCCAGAACCACACGGGGGGACCTAGTGAATGACCTGCGGAGAGCTGGGACCAAAGTAACAAAGCCTACCATCAGTAACACACTACGCCGCCAGGGACTCAAATCCTGCAGTGCAAGACGTGTCCCCCTGCTTAAGCCAGTACATGTCCAGGCCCGTCTGAAGTTTGCTAGAGTGCATTTGGATGATCCAGAAGAGGATTGGGAGAATGTCATATGGTCAGATGAAACCAAAATAGAATTTTTTGGTAAAAACTCAACTCGTTGTGTTTGGAGGACAAAGAATGCTGAGTTGCATCCAAAGAACACCATACCTACTGTGAAGCATGTGGGTGGAAACATCATGCTTTGGGGCTGTTTTTCTGCAAAGGGACCAGGACGACTGATCCGTGTAAAGGAAAGAATGAATGGGGCCATGTATCATGAGATTTTGAGTGAAAACCTCCTTCCATCAGCAAGGGCATTGAAGATGAAACGTGGCTGGGTCTTTCAGCATGACAATGATCCCAAACACACCGCCCGGGCAACGAAGGAGTGGCTTCGTAAGAAGCATTTCAAGGTCCTGGAGTGGCCTAGCCAGTCTCCAGATCTCAACCCCATAGAAAATCTTTGGAGGGAGTTGAAAGTCTGTGTTGCCCAGCGACAGCCACAAAACATCACTGCTCTAGAGGAGATCTGCATGGAGGAATGGGCCAAAATACCAGCAACAGTGTGTGAAAACCTAGTGAAGACTTACAGAAAACGTTTGACCTGTGTCATTGCCAACAAAGGGTATATAACAAAGTATTGAGAAACTTTTGTTATTGACCAAATACTTATTTTCCACCATAATATGCAAATAAATTCATTAAAAATCCTACAATGTGATTTTCAGGATTTTTTTTCCTCATTTTGTCTGTCATAGTTGACGTGTACCTATGATGAAAATTACAGGCCTCTCTCATATTTTTAAGTGGGAGAACTTGCACAATTGGTATATATTTATTTTGTAGTGGGGACAGTGACATTAGTTCTCTATAAAATTATACTTTAAGGAAAATGTTATGTATTTTTATTTTTTTTGTAAGTTTAGCGCACAATGTAATTTGAAAGTATGCATGAAGGTGTTTGTAATAGAATAAACATGGCAAAAAACGAATGTGTACATTAATAAATGCATTTGTATAGCTTCCAAAATCTTTTTTACAATGGTGGGGGGAGTACTAAAATGGAGGTGCAACCTCCATCTGCTTTGATTGGTCAATTTGGACCGTGAGAGGTTGTGCTTGACAAGACATTTCCTCAATAAGAACCATGAGGGATGATGGTGTTAGGCCATTCTCTGAGTCAGTCCATGCCTTAGAAGGCGTTTCTTCTCTGGAGGTGTCTTCAGCTTCGTTTTGTAGGCCTTCTGAATTTATGGACTCTTCCTCCACTTGAGCCTCAGACCACAAGGACCTAACAATAGAGGTCCAGGCTGTCTGAGTAACTCCACTGTCCTCTTTCTCTTGTGTGGATCGACTGGATCGATTGATTTCTTCATCATCATTTACCCTCCTCCCATTTTGCTCCACAGCTTTTGTCCATTTCTCCTCCTCTTCTTCCTCTCGGTCGTGGGCTGTTAGGAGATCCAGTGTGACACTCTGTAGGATGGGGAGAGTTACCACACTATGTTAACACAACAACATATTTTCCTTGTTTACATTACCAACAACATGCTCAATGTCAAACTCTGGATTCAAATGACTGGTGCAGGACAACTCATGGGTGTTAAAAGTATTAACATGGGTACCCCCCATAAGCGGCGATTATCAACTTTTGGTCCAGCCTTACTATCTGCAGGGCAATGTGAAATGGAAACACCCGGTGTTGGTTGCACCGTACCTTGATTGTGCTTAGCATGACTCCTAGAACATCGCTTCCTTGGTATGACTGGTGCAGGCCGAACTCCCCTCTCAGAGAATGGAACACTCCGTTCATCACTCTCTTCACCTGGAGGGAACACACGTAAACCGTTGAAACGATCAGAGAGAGGTGGGAATGAGAGCAATATAAAATGTTCTCTTAGTGTTGCTCATTGGAGTAGTTCGGTAGAGCAAAAGTATAATTTTAATATAAATCCCCCCCCCACCCAAAGTCTGCTTTCTCTATTCCAGTGTTTCTTCACCCTGGTCCTGGGGACATTTTTGTTTTTGCTCAAGCACTAAACACCTGATTCCACTACTCAAAGGTTTGATGATGAGGTGATTAGTGGAATCAAGTGTATAGTGCTAGGGGAAAAACTAAAATGTGGGTCCCAAGGACCAGAATTAAGAAACACTACTCCAATCACGTACAGATTAGTCTGTGGTGAATATTTGTGACCTCTCACCTGTTCTGCCACTGCATCCTGATTGGGCTGTTGGGCATGCCTAGTCTCCTGCTCAACCAATATAATTTCTAGCTGCTTCCTGGTGGTCTCTGCCCTGCTCTGTGCTGCCATATACTGAGAGAGAGAGAGCATTGGAATTTAACTATTAGTACCATTTCCATTTCCTAATGTTTAGGGAGTGTGTACACCCAGTATGTCCTTCACCTGCTCCTGTAGCTGTGTCAGTGTCCTGGCCAGAATGTCTCTCTGCTGTGTGATTTCTGCTAGCTCATGGCTATGTTGTTCCTTCTCATACCCACCCTGCTGCCAGTCCACATCAAGCTCCACCTTTAGTTAAAGACACACACACGTATAAAGCCTACAGGTATAATGCTTTATATAAACAGGGTGGTTTGAGCCCTGAATTCTGATTGACTGAAAGCCATGGTATATCAGACCGTATACAACGGGTATGACAAAACATTTAGTTTTACTGCTCTAATTATGTTGGTAACCAGTTTATAATAGCAATAAGGTTCCTCTGGGGTTTGTGATATATGGCCAATATACCATGGCTAAGGGCTGTATCCAGGCACTCTGCATTGCGTTGTGCATAAGAACAGCCCTTAGCCGTGGTATATTGGCCATATCCCACACCTCCTCTGGCCTTCCTGCTTAAATATACACTACCGTTCAAAAGTTTGGGGTCACTTAGAAATGTAATTTCTTTCAAAAGAAAAGCAATTTTTTTGTCCATTAAAATAACTTCAAATTGATCAGAAATACAGTTTAGACATTGTTAATGTTGTAAATGGCTATTGTAGCTAGAAACGGCTGATTTTTAATGGAGTATCTACATAGGCCCATTATCAGCAACCATCAGTCCATCAGATGCTGACCTTCTAGGCAGAGTTGCAAAGAAAAAGTCATATCTCAGACTGCCCATCTTAATCTTTTATTTTTATTGGCCAGTCTGAGATATGGCTTTTTCTTTGCAACTCTGCCTAGAAGGTCAGCATCCCGGAGTCGCCTCTTCACTGTTGATGAGTGTTTTGCGGGTACTATTTAATGAAGCTGCCAGTTGAGGACCTGTGAGGCGTCTGTTTCTCAAACTAGACACTAATGTATTTGTCCTCTTGCTCAGTTGTGCACCGGGGTCTTCCACTCCTCTTTCTATTCTGGTTAGAGCCAGTTTCCGCTGTTCTGTGAAGGGAGTAGTACACAGCGTTGTATGAGATCTTCAGTTTCTTGGCAATTTCTCGCAAGGAATAGCCTTCATTTCTCAGAACAAGAATAGACTGACGAGTTTCAGAAGAAAGTTATTTGTTTCTGGCCATTTTGATCCTGTAATCGAACCCACAATTGCTGATGCTCCAGATACTCAACTGGTCTCAAGAAGGCCAGTTTTATTGCTTCTTTAATCAGCACAACAATTTTCAGCTGTGCTAACATATTTGCATAAGGGTTTTCTAATGATCAATTAGCCTTTTAAAATGATAAACTCGGATTAGCAAACACAACGTGCCATTGGAACACAGGACTGATGGTTGCTGATAATGGGCCTCTGTACGCCTATGTAGATATTCCATTAAAAATCAGCGTTTCCAGCTACAATAGCCATTTACAACATTAACAATGTCTACACTGTATTTCTGATCAATTTGATGTTAATTTAATGGACAAAAAAATTGCTTTTCTTTCAAAAACAAGGACATTTCTAAGTGACCCCAAACTTTTGAACGCTAGTGTATGTTAAGCATTATTATATGTTAATAATAATGAATAATAAATGTTATGTATATGTTGCAACATTTCAACTGACTCAATATGGCTGGTCTTTAGTCTAGATCATTGTGTGTGTGTGTGTGAGAGAGTGAGTGTACCTGCTCCCTGGCCCCCTGCTCTACTTCTCCTCTCCTGGTCCTCAGGTGGTCCGTCTCCCTCTGGCTGCTCCTCCTCGCCTCCTCCTCACACTGCCACCTCCGCTTCCTCTCCAACAGCATCTGACAGAGACCGACACAGTGTTACAAGATCAAGACCAAAGTCCAATTCCCATTCTGCCCCCTTCTCTTTTGTGAAGAGGTAGCTTAGTGGTTAAGAGCGTTGTGCCAGTAACCGAAAGGTCGCTGGTTCTAATCCCCGAGCCGACTAGGTGAAAAATCTGTCGATGTGCCCTTGAGCAAGGCACTTAACCCTAATTGCTCCTGTAACTCGCTCTGGATAAGAGCGTCTGCTAAATGACTAAAATTTAAAAAAATTAAATGAATTAAAAGCATTGGATTAGTGCAGATGAGGGGGAGTGAGTGAAAGGGAGCACACTTTGGGAACAAGGGGTATAATCAGAATTGGGTATGTGGACTGTATTCTGTAGAATATTATTTTTATACCAAACAGTTATTAGAAGAATACTGGCACCATGTGGGACACATTGGTCCTGCCTGCTCGTCTCCACAGATACACACCGTGTCCAGGTTTCCTTTCTCAGCCCTCAGGTCCTGTAGCTCCTCCTCTGTGTTGGCGACTCTCAGCTCCATCTCTTTACATTTCTGTTTCTCTGTAAGCCACTGGGCCTGTGCCCTCCCCTCTCCCTTCCTTAGCTCTGTACGAACACACACACACACACACACACACACACCTTTAGTTTGCATGGTGTAATGACCCAATAGAACAGTCCCAAAAGTTAAAACCCTGTCCACCCGGTGCGCTGGACCATTCAAAATTCAGAGACAGTTGTGTAGTCTCTCTAATAAACTGATGCAAGTGCAGTGGTCCTGCCAGTCCTGTACTGTACCTTCTACTAGTCTCTCTAATGAGCTGATCTGAGTACAGTGGCTCTCCCTGTCTTGCAGGGCTTGGCTCAGCTGGGTCTGCAGGTCAGAGACAGAGCGCTGCAGCGAGGAGGACTGAAGCTTGGAGACCAGGGTGGAGGAGGAGGCTAGGTACTCTGTCAGGTGCACCTGAGATAGAGAGAGCAAAAGAGAGAGCGAAAGAGAGAGAAAGGGGAGAGAGAGGTGGAGGAGAGAGAGACTTAAATGTGTGTGTACGTGTGTGTCTATGAGACACTGTGTGTGTGTGTGTAGTACGTTTCCTCTGCTCTTTCCTACCTTGTCCTGTTCTGCCTGCAGCAGGCTGGGTTGGTTCTGTTGAGTGTTGCTCTTCAGCGCGTCATTCCTCTGTTCCAACAGTAAACCACTCTGTTCCATACACCTGTCACACACAACATCTTGTTTTTATCTCAACATGTCTACAGATTCACATTCTATCTTCTTCCCGTTTTTTTATTTGCTTGGAAATACTGGAGACCGTTATCAGAAGAAACTGTGTAACATTACCGTAGCATTCATAGCGGCTAAGGAATGCATTGCCATTCATTACATTGACATTTTAGTTATTTAGCAGACGCTCTTATCCAGAGCGACTTACAGTTAGTGAGTGCATACATATATTTGTTTTAAATTGGAAGGCTGGTTATCCTCCCACAATGTCACAAGGGATGGTAGAAATGTCAAGCCATAGATTTGATTTATTACCAGATTAACTTTCATAAGGTCATGTATTGAATACCGTAAGACAAAAGGACTCTGTATTGAAAACATGCCCACGTCAGGGTGGATACCGGTTTAGGCTGCTGGGTGACTCTGTCCTAGCCCTGGGGGTCTACCGTCCTGTGGACTGTCACTCTGGCCTAGTACACCCAAAGCCAATAATGAATGTTTCACTAAGATCCTGAAATGGGGTGTGTTAGGTTGGAGGTGCTGCAGGGCGGTGGACCCCCTGGGACAGGGCGGGGTGACCAGGTTATATTGTGTTTAAGTAAAGAGAGCTCCACATTATCATCATGAGATGAATCATATGGAGGCTGAGGTGTGGCTGTGTGTACATGTACACTTTATGTGTAGGTGTATGTTGTTTTAAATTAAAATACATTGACTGTGATATGTCTGAATTGTACTATTGTTCCTGTTAAAATAAAATATGTAGATATTTGTATTTATTTACATCTACAGAACCCATTGAACACACACACACACCTCTGGTTCTGCTCGAGGAGTTCTCCGATCTTCCAGTTCTGCTCCTCCACTCGGGTGCTCTTCTCCAGAACCTCCTTCTTTAGAAACAAGTTCTCCTGTGGAACCCAAACGGAGAACAGTTATGTCGTTCCATGCAATGGTCAATGCCTATCAGGTAACTGCTTTCACCAGTCCTATTTTTCCCCACATCAGTGCAGATGAAGAACGGTAGACGAATACAAGAATCCTTTTTTCAGACCAGTGCAGAATGAGGGTGAGCAGAAAAGGAGGGGAGGACGCTGTAGACTAGTGGGACAGTTGATGACGGACCTGGGTGATTCTCTGGATGTTGTGCATGATCATGGCTGTTTCCATGGACACAGAGGACAGACCCAGAGAGTTGCCACCACCATGCTTCTGGAGCTCATCCACCTGGTAGAAAATATGATAACATGACTTAAAACTGTTATAATGCTTTATTACTGGTTACGAGCATGTATGAGGCTATGAGGCCTTATAATGTCTCAGTTTGTCAGGATCATTATGAGAAGAAACAATGCAAAACAGGAAAGTGTTACCAGAACTACAAACAAAAGTCCACTGCTGACCTTGGAGACCAGCAGGTTGATTTTATCCGCCACTTTCCCCACAGCCTGTCCGATCTCAGTGTTGTGCTGTCGCGCCTCCGTCATCAAGAAGGAAGTGACATCAATAGGTGCTAGACGGGTCAAATGTTGTCAGATAAAGCAAATGAAACAAATGAAAACACATTACAATACAATATTATGTCTGCCATGCTGCACTTAGACAAGGTGACAGTGAACATTGTATTTTCCTTACCCTGGTATGAAACTGCATGATGAGGGTGGAACTGACCAAGGCAGGATGGACCAAATTCAGACTGAAAGGAGGGCTGTGAATGGAGTCGTACCAAAGTACGTCGTTAAAATAGGGGTGGGAGGGGGGGATAAGCATAGCGGATCGTACCAAAGTACGTCGTTAAATAGGGGTGGGAGGGGGGGATAAGCATAGCGGATCGTACCAAAGTACGTCGTTAAATAGGGGTGGGAGGGGGGGATAAGCATAGCGGATCGTACCAAAGTACGTCGTTAAATAGGGGTGGGAGGGGTGGATAAGCATAGCGGATCATTTCCAATTTCCCCTTTGGAGATCAATATCGGTTATTTAATTCAAATTCAATACCTGGAAGACATGACTGCTTCCACCACAGTCCACAGCCTGTGGGACCACTGTCTCCATAAACACTGGTTTCTGGCCAGCAGTTGGCACGGCGACCCCAGGCACTGAAACAGAAACTACAACCCTGAATATAAGCAAATGACTGTAGGATGATCGCTTTAAGCATAGTTAGGTGGACCTACCAAACATATGGGCATAAATGGACACTGAACTAGAGGTCTTACCTGCATGGACAGCTGACATCTGGACTGGCTGGGGGTGCGGACAGTGATGTGAAGGGTGAGATTCACTGGGGTCCTGCAGGGTGACACAAATACAGACGCAGAAGAATATTAACAGGTCAGCGGCACTGTCATTGGTGTGTCAAACATGACAAAGGGTCATAGGTCGTACTCCTTTTGTTTTGACTTTGGAACCGGTTTGCCAGGTATGCTGAAAAGTATTGACTTGGTCAAAAACTGGAATTGTGGGAATGCAAATGTTGAATTTCTATACAGAACAGAAGGTGCACACACACACACACACTATGGAGCCCACCTCTGTCTCTGATAAGCTGTGATCTGGCTGGGCGGGGATGGCTCTTGTTAGGAAGGGCAGCATGGGCTGACCCATCTTGGCCATACGAGAGATCAACTTGGCTTTGGCTGCATCTGGCTGCTGTAGGCAAGACAATACTATTTGAGAGAGATTGTGACTGTTTGATTGTGAGTGAGTGAGTGAGTGAGTGAGTGAGTGAGTGAGTGAGTGAGTGAGTGAGTGACTGTGTGTGCGTGCGCACATGTGAGTGAGAATGTGTGCGTGTAAGCATGCAAAGAAGTTAAACTAAATGAAAATAACACACTCACCATCAGTTGCTCATTTATTGAATTGGATTTCACATGCAGAGGCTGACCACTGTTGGCAGAAAAGTCAAAGAGTTAACCTGCCATCTGACAATTTGGCCTCCAGGAAAACCCTCCTAACTCCCCCACCGAGCAACAGTGAAGGTAGTGGTACGTACCCGGGCTCTGCTGAGATAGAGGTGGGGGGCTGAGACTGAGGGGACATCACAAAGCCCAGACTGTCCACACTGAGGGAGGGGGAGTTGGTGATTAACCCCCCACTCTGTCGCTCCGACCCACTGTCCTTAGCAAACTTCACCTGAATAAACCCCACAGAGTTAGAACATCTAGAGAGCCATTTTGGCCAATTGCACCCTCTAGCTTTGGCACACAATCAGTTCCACATGGCTACAGTGAGATACTGTTTGACGCTTGAAACTGAATGAAAGAGTGTGCGCCTACCCGGCGGATCTCCACATTGTAGACCAGTGTGCTGGAGGAGGGGACGCGGTTGGGGATGCCCTTTGACCCATATCCTAGGGTGGGGGGCACGATATGGAGGCGACGCCCACTTTTCTGCATCCCTAACATCCCTTCCTCCAAGCCCTAAAGAGATAGGAGAGCGAGAGAGACATCACATTTTTCTATATTTGTTGATTTCTGTAAGCAGGAAGTTGCCTCACTATGTGTGTTGATATCATATTGCTGAGTTGACCTCTACACCAGTGGAGGCTGGTGGAAAGAGCTATAGGAGGATGAGCTCATTGTAATGGCTGGAATGGAATGGAGTGAAACATGTGGTTTCCATAGGTTTGATACCATTCCAATCCAGCCATTACAATGAGCCCATCCTCCTATAGCTCCTTCCACCAGCCTCCACTGCTTTACACTTACCTTAATGGCTTTACCGTTGCCAAGCTTCACTCTCAGCAGCTTGTCTTTGCCCACGTTGCAGTCAAACATCTAACAGACACACAGAAAACAATATACATTCAGCTGAATGGTGATCAAATTGGCATTGACATGCATTGTGAGGAGGATAAGTGAGTGAGTGAGTTAGTGAAAGAAGAGGAGAGAGAGAAATTTGACAGTCACACAAACACACTGAAAGAAATTCTCGAATTCTTGATTTAAAATCCATGCCACACATTTGGACTCTCTCCAGACAATAGTAAACAAGGTCAGAGAGCGTTCAGCCATGTAAAGGGTTAACTACTCAAGGAAGAGAAAAGTGGGTGGGACAACAATGTTTTATTTCAGGGCTCGCCAACCCTGTTCCTGGAGAGCTACCATCCTGTAGGTTTTCACTCCAACCCTAATCTAGCACACCTGATTCTAATAATTAGCTGGTTGATCAACTGAATCAACTGGGGATGGAATGAAAACCTTCAGGAGGGTAAGCTCTCCAGGAACAGGGTTGGAGAGCCCTGTTCTATTTAAACATCACTTTGCAGAAGTAAAACTAAAGGTCTTCTAGCTAGGCCTCGTCTTTTCCTCTCTGATAAAACTAAACTGAGAAGACATTTACTGGTAGCCCAAACTCTAAACCTCTACTACAGCCTTATCTGGGCCTCTTTTGATGCCACAAACAGAAAGCACAGAGACATTCCCAACACAGGTGAGACAGATTTTTCCAAACTCTATTGCTAGCTGCATCTGTTAAAGGAACTGTGATATACACAGCTATTTTATAAAATGTTTTATCATGAATGATAGACAGTATGCCCATTCATTCGTGATAACTCCATCATAACACAAAATATAAGGTTGCTTTACTACATCGTTTGTAAGTAATGTCATAAACATTAATGTACAGCTTTAAATTGTCTAGAAACTATCATGTTGACCTAGTCATTTTTTCCATACAGTAGCTATAATTTGGTCGTTAAATTTCTCCATTATAGCTAACCAAGTAATGGGGCTGGCCATTTTGTGGTTTTGCCAATGAAGGCCCATAATATGAATATCTAAGGATGTGTACAATGTTGTCCTGTAAAGGTAAAACCATGCTTTACAATTGGTTAGGATCAATGTTTTACGATCACATAGGGATCGCAACATCGTACCATGTTGACTCAAACTGAAATGATCTCGAACTGACTGATAATGGTTTCACCTTTGGTCTTGGTTTAGATATGGCCGCCTCCAGCAGTCTCCTGTCTAAAGAGCACTTCCTGTGCTCTATCTGTCTGGATGTGTTCACTGAGCCAGTAGCCATTCCATGTGGACACAACTTCTGCATGGCCTGTATCAAATAGTACTGGGATACTAGTGACCAGTGCCGGTGTCCCATGTGTATGGATACATTTGACAGGAAACCTGAGCGTCGCATCAATACTCTCTTTTCTGAGATGGCTACTCAGTTCAGGAAGTCAGTTCAAGGGAAATCCACCAACCTAGACCAAGGCCCTCACCCAAGGCCCAGCCCAGACCAAGGCCCTGCTCAACCCCTAGAAGTCTCCTGTGACATCTGTGCTGGGACAACGCTCAAGGCCCTGAAGTCCTGCCTGGTGTGTCTAACCTCTTTCTGTGAGACTCCCCTGGAGCCTCAGAGAGTTGCAGCCTTAAAGAGACACAAGCTGATCAACCCTGTGGAGAACCTGGAAGACAGGATGCATCAGAAGCACGAGAGACTCCTGGATCTGTTCTGTAGGAGTGACCAGACATGTCTGTGTTTTTTGCTTGAAAACAGACCACATGACACTGTCATGACACTGTCCCTCTAGAGCAGGGTTTCCTAACCTCGGTCCTAGGGACCCCAAGGGGTGCACGTTTTGGTTTTTGCCCTAGCACTACCAGCTGATTCAAATACTCAACTAATCAACAAGCTTTGATCATTTGAATAAGCTGTGTAGTGTTACGGCAAAAACCAAAACGTGCACCCCTTGGGTTCCCGAGGACAGAGTTTGGGATATGCTGCTCTAGAGGAAGAGTATGGAGAGAAAATGGCTAAACTAGGAAAGGTGATGGCAGAGGTAGACCAGAAGATGCTTCCAAGATATAGTAAGGTTGAGGAGATCAAACACTCAGTAGATCTCAGAGTGTAGGTCTTCACTGCTCTGGTGCGCTCCATTGAGAGAAGCCAGGCTGAGCTCATTGAGGAGAAGCAGAAAGCAGCAGAGTGGCAGGCTGAAGGGCTCATTAAAGAGCTGGAGCAGGAAATCACTGAGCTACAGAGTAGAAGCACTGAGCTGGAATAGCGCTCACACACTGAGGTCCACCTCCTCCAGAGCTTCCCATGTCTGTGCAGCCCTCCACCCACCAAGGACTGGTCTGAGATCAGTGTTCACAGTGATCTGTGTCTGGGGACTGTGAGGAGAGCCGTGTCTCAGCTGGAGGAGACACTTATGAGTGAAGTGAAGAGGTTGGGTGATGCTGAGCTGGAGAGGATTCAGTAGTAGACAGTGGATGTGACTCTGGACCCTGATACAGCACCTCCTCACCTCATCCTGTCTAGGGCTGGGAAGCAAATGAGAAATGGAGGCAAAGAACAGGATCTCCCAAACTACCTAGGGAGGTTTGATTGTTTTCATTTTAATGTCCTTGGAATTGAGGGCTTCTCTTCAGGGAGATTTTACTATGAGGTTATGGTTACGGGGAATACTGAATGGGATTCAGGAGTAGCCAGTGAGTCTATCAACAGGAAGGGGGATATCACACTAAGGACTCAAACTGGATACTGGACTATGCAGAAGTATGGGTGTGAGTACAAAGCCAGTGACACCTACCCTGTCCCCATCTTTCTGAGAGACACGCCACAGAAGGTGGGGGTGTTTGTGGATTATGAGGGGGGTCAGGTCTCCTTTTATGATGTGCGGGCCAGGTCTCATATCTACTCTGTCACTGGCTGCAACTTCACAGAGATGCTCTATCCATACCTTGGCCACAAATCCTAATCCTGATGGTGAAATCTTTCCTCTGATCAGCGCTACAGTCAATTTGTACATTGACTGGTGGTTATTATCGTTATTTGTCAGTTTGACATGATGAGTATTGGGCTCTCGAGTGGCGCAGCGGTCTAAGGCACTGCATCTCAGTGCTTGAGGCGTCACTACAGACCACCTGGTTCGATTCCAGGCTGTATCACAACCGGCCGTGATTGGGAGTCCCATAGGGCGGCGCACAATTGGCCCAGCGTCGTCCGGGTTTGGCCGGTGTAGGCCGTCATTGTAAATAAGAATTAGTTCTTAACTGACTTGCCTAGTTAAATAAAGGTTAAATAAATACAAAATAAATTGGACCATACTAGGCTAAGCTACTGGTAAGAAAGTTCTAGTCATAATTTCTGCCAGCACGGTGCTCATTAGGTAAACTAATGAGCACCGTACGAGGAAGGGTGCATGGGGAAAACACAGAAAACATAGGCCCCAGCATCTAGAATGTCAGTATATTGTCAATGTTTGTATATCTTCTGATCTTTACTTTTATAAAGCCACAAATCAAATTGCGCAATGTTTGGAGAATAAAGCTTTTCTGAGCCTTTATTAAGTTTTGTCACAACCAGTTCATTTTCTCAGAACCAGTTCATTTTCTCAGAACCAGTTCATTTTGTCCGAATACAGCACAGTTATTTGGGCTGTATTCTGACAATTCTGAGTTATTTGTCACCTGTCCGATGTTGTGGTTCTGTAGAAGCCAGCCTGTGAAGGCCACCTCTACCATGTCACCATAGTCCACCGCCTGTCCCTCTCCTAACAGCAGGTCCTGGGTCAGTAGTGAATCTACAGCGGCCTCACTGTTCCATCTGGCCACGCACAGCTGGATTGGTGGGTAAAGGTTTAAACATAAAAAAAAAGTGAAGGAATTGTTAATGTGTGCAAATAACTAAAAAAACAGACTATCCATCTGTCTTTCCAGAGCCATATATAGAGATCTCTATATATACACACACTGAGTGTACAAATCATTATGAACACATTATGAATCCAGGTGAAAGCTAAGAACCCTTATTGATGTCACTTGTTAAATCCACTTCAAATCAGTGTTGATGAAGGAGAGGAGACGGGTTAAATAAGGATTTTTAAGCCTTGAGACAAAAGAGTTAAGTGCCTTTGAATGGGGTATGTCAGTAGGTGCCAGGCGCACCGGTTTATCAAGAACTGCAACGCTGCTGGGTTTTTCACGCTCAACAGTTTCCTGTGTGTATCAAGAATGGTCCACCACCCAAAGGACATCCAGCCAACTGTGGGAAGCATTGGAGTCAGCATGGGCCAGTATCCCTGTGGAATGCTTTCGACACCTTGTAGAGTTCATGCCCCGACGAATTGAGGCTGTTCTGAGGGCCGTGGGGGGTGCAACTCAATGTTAGGAAGGTGTTCTTAATGTTTTGTACACTCCGTGTACACTACCAGTCAAAAGTTTGGACACATCTACTCATTCAAGGGTTTTTCTTTATTTAAATTGTTTTACATTGTAGAATAATAGTGAAGACATCAAACCTATGAAATAACACATGGAATCATGTACTAACCAAAAAAAGTGTTAAACAAATCTAAATATATTTTATATTTGAGATTCTTCAAATAGCCACCCTTTGCCTTGATGACAGCTTTGCACACTTTTGGCATTCTCTCAACCAGCTTCACCTGGTGTTTTCCAACAGTCTTGAAGGAGTTCCCACATATGCTGAGCACTTGTTATTTAACACTTTTGGTTACAAGTGCTCAGCATATGTGGGAACTCCTTCAAGACTGTTGGAAAAGCATTCCAGGTGAAGCTGGTTGAGAGAATGCCAAGAGTGTGCAAAGCTGCCATCAAGGCAAAGGGTGGCTAGTACATGATTCCATGTGTTATTTCATAGTTTTGAAGTCTTCACTGTTATTCTATAAAGTAAAAAATAAAGAAAAACCCTTGAATGAGTAGGTGTCCCCAAACTTTTGATTGGTACTGTATAGCCGTCTAGTATAAGAAAAAAAAAGCATCCTTCGTTCACCTCTTTGCAAAAGTCCACTCCAGCTTTCTCAGAGTCAAACATCAGGGACCAGTTGAGCCTCTGGTCATCGTAGAATGTTCCATAGTTACCTGGCTGAACCTGAGAAGTCAAATCAAATATAGTCTAGTTAAAACACACCCACACCACACAGTTAAAACTGCACAAGCATGTACACATCATGGGAAGATGCACTACTCACTGTGAAGATGAAGCCTAGATGGATCTTGGCAGTTGTGATTGGTTTCTGTTGGCTGCCATAAAGCAGGATCATGTACTGAAGAAAAAAATCAAGACAAGAGGAAGCAGACTGACAGATGATGAATAGGCAAACACAAACTCGATGTGTGAACAGAATAAACTTGGGTCCCACTTTACAATAACACATGTATTTATGTGGTAGTTACAAAGGCAGGTTTACATAGTTGTGTTTTACACATTGACCTTTTTATGCAATAGTTTATCACTTTTCTACCTTTTGGTTATGATCAAGTGTAGCGTAGATGATTTGTAAACAAACTCAATTTAAAATGTGGCTAAAACTTTTGCCCTTGATTTATACCTGTATCAAGACAAATTCAAACAATTTATCATGAGCCTTTTTCACTCTACACAAAAAAAGTCTAGAGTATCTAAAAATCATACAATTAACTGAATCGTCTCAGGGAGAGCATATTTCTTATTAAGTGGTTAGAGCAAAATACATGACCCTGTATTAATTGAGTTGGAAAATCATAGGATTCAATGTAAACAGTGCATGACTTAGGCCGGAGCTCACAAGCACCTCAAAATGTTCTAATGCTTGAGTTGCGGCACCTCTTATAGAATATTCACTTAAAAATATTGCAGAGTTCCAGCACCTAAATAAAAACAGCACTCATAATGAGTACCAGCACCCATTTCAGTCCAAGTCAAGCACTGAATGTAGAGATGGAGACTTCCTCTTCACATCACTTAGAGTGTGTTTATTCTCAATGGAAACTGGTTTTACATATCCTTCACAGCTCAAGTACCTCTCTGGTTGGATGATTTCCCAGGATAGCAGCTCCCACCTTCCCCTGTTTTGTGTACTGGCCATTCACACTGCAAACACAAAACCATGACAACAAGACCAAACAGGTTTAAACTGGACCTGTGAACACAACACAACAAACGCACATTCTCTCACGCACGCACCGCCATAAGCACACTAAAAATGGACATACTCACATACACATTAAACTCTGAGAGACACATATCAACTCCATCTAGTGATATGGATTTCAGGTACTTGTGTTTGTGGACATACTCACAAGCGGAACGCCTGAACAGCAGTAGCCAATAGGACAGAAGGAGGTGGTGCAGGCTTTTGAGGAGATGGGCCTTTGAAAACACGCAGACCATATTCAAACACTTACATAATGTGAACTTTTGCACCAATCCATTCATGGATGTATTGGAAGAATTGCATTAGAGTTTACGCGTGGTCTGAAGTCTTTATACTTTACAAGCCACAATACTGAAGAAATGCATCCTTCCTGCTGTCTAGAGTCATAACTTTCATCTATCCAATCATGTTGGATCAGTGTTCACATGAAGGAAGGAAGGAATTTGACCAGTGTTCAAACAGGGCCTCAGACGGTTGTGTGTTGTGTCTTACTCAGAGTGGTGGTGGTTTTCTTCGGCTGTTTGGGGGATCTGAACTGGAAGGACTCGTTGCCCTGACTGTCAGCCTGATCCAGACCAAAGAGAGAGGCTAGCTTTGCTCTGTCAACACACACACACACACACACACACACACACACACACAACATTATACTGTATATGGGCAATTCCACAATAACAGAATTGCGCTGAGACAGATTCTTCACTTTAAAATGTATGCCAAACAAAAACCATTGATTTAAAAAGTTTAGCAAACCATAGAGCTCAATGCACAAGGACTACTTTTAACAATTTACAAAGAACATTTTACAAAAACACATTTACTGGAAGAACTAGGCAGATGCAAAGTTTGGTAAGTTTTTTTAATGTGTCCACATTTTCCCAAAACTCTGATAAATCCATGTATAGTGCCTTCAGAAAGTATTCACACCCCTTGACTTTTCACACATTTTAGTTGTGTTACAGCCTGAATTTAAAATGATTAAAACGGATTTATTTTTGTCACTGGCCTACACACACACACACACACAATACCCCATAATGGCAAAGTGGAATTATGTTTTTTTTTCGAAATGTGTACAAATTAATAAAAAATTAAACGTTTCTTGAGTCAAAAATGTATTGAGTCAATAACAATTCAACCCCTTTGTTATGGCAAGCCTAGAGTTCAGGAGTAAAGATTTGCTTAACAAATCATAATGGACTCACTGTGTGCAATAATAGTGTTTGACATGTTTTTTGAATGACTACCTCATCTCTGTACCCTACACATAAAACTATCTGTAAGGTCCCTCAGTCGAGCAGTGAGGTTTCCCAATACCTCGCAAAGGGCACCAATTGGTAATGGCAAAATATCCCTTTGACCATGATGAAGTTATTAATTATACTTTGGGATGGTGTATCAATAACCCCAGTCACTCCAAAAATACAGGCGTCCTTCCTAACTCAGTTGCTGGAGAGGAAGGAAACCGCTCAGGGATTTCACCATGAGGCCAATGGTGACTTTAAAACATTTACAGAGTTTAATGGCTATGATAGGAGAATACTGAGGATGGATCAACCACATTGTAGTTACTCCACAATACTAACCTAATTGACAGAGGAAAAAGATGGAAGTCTGTACAAAATAAAAATATTCCAAAACATGCAGCCTGTTTGCAATAAGGTGCTAAAGTAAAAATGCAAATAATTTGGCAAAGAAATTAACTTTATGTCCTGAATACAAAGCATTATGTTTGGGGCAAATCCAACACAACACGTCACTGAGTACCACTCTTCATATTTTCAAGCATTGTGGTGGCTGCATCATGTTGGGTCATGGATATGCTTGTCATTTTTTAATGATAAAATTAAACAGAATAGAGCTAAGCACGGGAAAATCCTAGAGGAAAACCGTGTTCAGTTTTCTTTCCAACAGACACTGAGAGACAAATTCACCTTTTAGCAGGACAACAACCTCCAATACACTGGAGTTGCTTACCAAGATGACATTGTATATTCCTGAGTGGCCTAGTTACAGTATTGACTTAAATCGTCTTGAAAATCTATGGCAAGACTTGAAAATGGCTGTCTAGCAATGATCAACAAGCAACTTGACAGAGCTTGAAGAATTTAAAAAAGTATAAAATGTGCAATGTTGTACAATTAAGGTGTGCAACGCTCTTAGAGACTTACCCAGAAAGACTCACAGCTGTAATCGCTGCCAAAGGTGATTCTAACATGGTTGAATACTTACAGTATCTAATCAACAAGGTGTTTTATTTTTGAATGATTTTTTACCATTATAGTATTTTGTGTAGATTGGTGACCAAAAAAAAGACTATTAAATCCATTTTAATCCCACTTTGTAACAACAAAATGTGGAAAACGTAAAGGGGTGTGAATACTTTCTGAAGGCACCGTATGTGGGTTTTTAGTAACAGAATTTCAAGGCACAGGGCAATGTTTCTTAAACTTACAGAAGGCAGAATAATTTATCCAAAACTAAATATAAGTGTTGATATTAGTTGGCAGGGGTCTTTACTTCAACATGATTGTGCTTTGATGTATTTCTAATACCTTTTAAGACTTTTTCTGGTAGAGGTTTTCTGAAACCCCTGAGCCTTTGCTTATTCCTTATTTTTGGGATGGAAAATGGTTGAAAAATGTACAGTGAGGGAAAAAAGTATTTGATCCCCTGCTGATTTTGTACGTTTGCCCACTGACAAAGACATGATCAGTCTATAATTTTAATGCCAGGTTTATTTGAACAGTGAGTGACAGAATAACAAAATAATCCCGAAAAAACGCATGTCAAAAATGTTATAAATTGATTTGCATTTTAAATGAGGGAAATAAGTATTTGACCCCTCTGCAAAACAGGACTTAGTACTTGGTGGCAAAACCCTTGTTGGCAATCACAGAGGTCAGATGTTTCTTGTAGTTGGCCACCAGGTTTGCACACATCTCAGGAGGGATTTTGTTCCACTCCTCTTTGAAGATCTTCTCCAAGTCATTAAGGTTTCGAGGCTGATGTTTGGCAACTCGAACCTTCAGCTCCCTCCACAGATTTTCTATGGGATTAAGGTCTGGAGACTGGCTAGGCCACTCCAGGACCTTAATGTCCCTCTTCTTGAGCCACTCCTTTGTTGCCTTGGCCGTGTGTTTTGGGTCATTGTCATGCTGGAATACTCATCCACGACCCATTTTCAATGCCCTGGCTGAGGGAAGGAGGTTCTCACCCAAGATTTGACGGTACATGGCCCCGTCCATCGTCCCTTTGATGCGGTGAAGTTGTCCTGTCCCCCTAGCAGAAAAACACCCCCAAAGCATAATGTTTCCACCTCCATGTTTGACGGTGGGGATGGTGTTCTAGGGGTCATAGGCAGCATTCCTCCTCCTCCAAACACAGTGACTTGAGTTGATGCCAAAGAGCTCGATTTTGGTCTCATCTGACCACAACACTTTCACCCAGTTCTCCTCTGAATCATTCAGATGTTCATTGGCAAACTTCAGACGGGCCTGTATATGTGCTTTCTTGAGCAGGGGGACCTTGTGGGTGCTGCAGGATTTCAGTCCTTCACGGCGTAGTGTGTTACCAATGGTTTTCTTGGTGACTATGGTCCCAGCTGCCTTGAGATCATTGACAAGATCCTCCCGTGTAGTTCTGGGCTGATTCCTCACCGTTTTCATGATCATTGCAACTCCACGAGGTGAGATCTTGCATGGAGCCCCAGGCCGAGGGAGATTGACAGGTCTTTTGTGTTTCTTCCATTTGCGAATAATCGCACCAACTGTTGTCACCTTCTCACCAAGCTGCTTGGCGATGGTCTTGTAGCCCATTCCAGCCTTGTGTAGGTCTACAATCTTGTCCCTGACATCCTTGGAGAGCTCTTTGGTCTTGGCCATGGTGGAGAGTTTGGAATCTGATTGATTGATTGCTTCTGTGGACAGGTGTCTTTTATACAGGTAACAAACTGAGATTAGGAGCACTCCCTTTAAGAATGTGCTCCTAATCTCAGCTCGTTACCTGTATAAAAGACACCTGGGAGCCAGAAATCTTTCTGATTGAGAGGGGGTCAAATACTTATTTCCCTCATTAAAATGCAAATCAATTTATAACATTTTTGACATACGTTTTTCTGGATTTTTCTGTTGTTATTCTGTCTCTCACTGTTCAAATAAACCTACCATTAAAATTATAGACTGATCATTTCTTTGTCAGTGGGCAAACATACAAAATCAGCAGGGGATCAAATACTTTTTTCCCTCACTGTATATATATATATATATATATATATGCCTTAATTTCTGAAAACTAGTCTCTTAGCTTTAATTTGACACCCAATTTGACATTCTCCTATAAACTTCACGTTGGTGCTCATTGGTCCATTTACATAGAAATGACCATATGTGTCTGGCAAAAATACACACAAGTTTTAGTGTGCAAATGCACGCACAAACTGTATGTGCATGTATATGTATGAGAATTTACACAAGCATGAGTATGTTTTGATCACTTCATCACAATGCTTAGCTTGGAATGACAATCTAGTGGAAACAATGCAATCCCACTCACTGGCCAATCAAGAGGTAACAGAGACGATGATGGTATCAACACAGGGTTAAATACTTGTATCATGAATTGTATCATCACCATTCAGTCACTGAGTATCTGTTTGGATGTAAACAATTCTATCACAGCTCACCTATCATCCTAACCTTACTTCCTGGGGTAGAGAGAGTAGACGGCGTAGCATTCTAGTTTTTTGATTAAGTGATTGATTCAATTCTCACATTACATTTAGATTAGAAGCCAATCTTATCCATAGCAACATAAAATATCATCATAAACATATCATAAACATTTTCCACATATTCCAAAGATTATAAAAGAGAAAAACACTACTTACATTCTTCAAAATAGAACCTTCCCTCACCCTCTGTGCTAAATTCAGTATAAAGTGCATTACTAGCAGGGAACATTAGACCCACATGACATAAGCATAACATGACACCACCAGGCAAGCCCATCCACTCTATATAGAGATCAGCACTCTCTCACACACCCCATGACATCTATTAAACCCACCCTTGGTGGTCCCTTCCTCAAGAAACCTAAAACATATTTTCAACTACAGCAGCACTCAATGCAGTGTGATCTGAACCGTTGGTTAAATAAACTCAACCGATAGACAAGCAGCCAGTCACCCCACCTTTACTTACCGGATAGGTTCTCTCTAGTCTCACACCAGACCTCTGTGCACAATAGCCTGGGGATGAGGTTCTCTCAAAGAACACATGTACACAGAACATACTGACCCATGGAACTCCCGCCACAGGTAGTCAGTATGTCACACTGCAGACATTGTCACCAGTTTGTAGCTTCTGACAGAGGCCCTGTGCCAGATGAAGAAGACATCGAGGAGGGGAGGGCAGGTAGGAGAGGAGCTGGCTGGCAAACAGATTGTGTGACCTGCCAGTTATGACAAGGGACCATATAGCAGTATGGTCCATGCTGCTATGGCTCCATACCAAAAAAAACATTGTTAGAAAGCATAGGTGGTCTAATTGGTTTATTCCCATTCAGTGTTTTCCCTACCTTTGCATAGGTGGGACAGGCTTCCCAATCTAGCTCTGTCGCATCCCAAGTAAGAGATCATCAACGAGGGGCTATGCGTTCTCTGGAAAATAATGAACAACAACGTTCATTATTTTCCAGAGAACGCATAGTCCCTTGATGATTATCCCTTACATAATCCATTGGTTTAAATTTAATAGTTTTGATTTTAAAGGAGGCCCTAGATGTTGATGTGGGGGCTTTTTTTGCACTCCGCTTGGAAAATATTTGAAGGGAAACACTGTCGCCACTTCTTGGAATAACATGTATAGGCTAGTAGTAACAAACATTTTACGCCACACATTTTAGTGGAGTTTTGTTTAGCCTACCCAAGCGAGGAGGCTCTCACATTCCACCAAATGAGTTTCCCCAAATTCAATAATACCACCTCTGACTGAGTCCAAAGGGCATCACTGTTTCAACAGCCACTTATCTCCAGACTCACAAATTCTAGTTAAGATTTATCCAATGCACGTGGTTAAGGACTGCCAAAAAAATTTTTTGGGGGGAGAAGAGATAAATATCTGAATCAGTATTTAATTATATATTATTTGCAGGCTTGCAGCATTACTTTTCAATTATTGGAATAGTTTTCATGCATCCCTAAATATAGTCTGTAGCCTAATAAATGGTGATACACTTTGTTTCCATAAATATAGTCTGTAGCCTAATAAATGTTGATATACATTGTTTAAAAAACATCACTTTTCCCTCTTCTCAGTGTATGAAGAATGATCCAATCAAAAGACAATGCGCTTTGGCATGCGAATAAAAAAACAACTGCACATGCATTTACTTTTTCTCTGTAAACTCACCCGCCTTTAGGCAACTGAAAATCGCCTTCTTGATACCCACAAAACATGTCTGGAAGTCTGTGTCGTACCCTTTGAATAGAATAATACAGGGCTCTTTTATGTCTAGCGAAACATCACACACAAAACTCACATTGAAGTCATAAACCTCAAACACACCTCCATCCTTCCTCTCTTGTAGAATGGCGTCAGCTGACCAGTCAAATTACTGTCGTAAAACGGCCCAGTAACCAATCCGAACTCACGCTCTGCAGTCGTAAAGCGCAACACAACAACACGCTGGAGGATATGTAGTCCTAGTCGAAGAAAGGAGTTTTTCAGTATTATTAGATTCACTCTCAAGATTGCCAAAGACCACTAGGATAATCTGTTATAGCTACCGTAGGTGAGCATCTTGAACTGAGCAGGGCTGTTATCCGGCTTTTATGGATGTTATGGAAGTATTTCGTGAACGAGGGATCTGTCACGTAGCCACTAACGTTAGTTAGCTAACTAGCCACTGGTACTGCTCGAGAGGCTACCTAGCCCATTCAAATAGACTGTAAGCCACCTTGGGCCCGATTGGGTTCTCGAGTGCTAGAGGTTAGCTAACTAAATGAAACTAACAGTCAAGTGAAATTGGTGTCAGATGTGGGATAATTCTGCTATCTCTTTCAGCCCTTTGTCAGACCTACGCCCCTGTTCGCGTTGGGTTTACAGTAGCAGGTTGGCATTTATTGTCATGAATCTTGACCTGGAGGCAGCTCTGCAGAGTGGTCACTAGCTAGTCATAAAATCTGATTTTAAACATAACCTTAACCACACTGCTAACCCTAACCTTTAAATTAAGCACAAAAAGCTCATTTTTGTTTCCATGAATTCTTATGATATAACCATTTTTGGACTTTGCAGCTGGCCAATCTAGCCGAAATCGCTCAGTTCTGCCTCCAGGGCAAGATTCATGACAATAAACGTCAGACTGCTTTACAGTATCTCAGTCTCGGCCAAGAGGTCTGGACCTTTATGGCACCGGAGGTAGTGTTGTGTACTTCACCTGTAATCACATGGTGGTCCTGATAAACACCAGCTGAGTTTTGTAACAGTAACTAACTCTGCAGATAACCATGCTCCGAGTCTGAATGTAACTAAGGCTGTGTAAACAGATTCCTAGTTATATTCGGAGCTACAGACAGATAACAGTGGGTGCAACTGTCATGCATTTGTCAATAGCTAAGTAAATTGCCAATAGAGTCCAGACAGACTAAAGACAGCTTGCTAACTTGCAAGGATGTCAATATCATATCAAGTGTCCATTGTGTAGGCCATCAATGGGATGACCAGGACATCACAAACAAAAATACATGCTTCTTTAAGTTAGCTATTCTGTGTGTCTTGACATCTAGGAAAATCAGCAGTTCATTGGGCTGCTGTTACAGTATGTCTGATAAGTGTGTACAGCCTGATATATTGTAAGAATCATAATTTAACTGCCCATCTTCATCCACAGTGAGAATGTCAGCCCCAAAGCTGTTGATTCTATATGGGAGCCAGACGGGCACTGCCCAGGACACGGCTGAGCGGATTGGACGCCAGGCGCAAAGGAGGCGAATGCAAGTCAAAGCGGAGGCTCTTGACAGTTACAATGTGGTCAGTTGACAAGCGCGATAACAGATAGTCACACACAGTGCCTAAATAACTGAATCAAACATACAGCACTACTATTATGAAAAATAAGTATTCTCCATTGAATCCCCTTGCCTTGTCAAAGCTGAATACAGTGAGTATACAAAACATTAAGCTCTTTCGTTGACAGACTGACCAGGTGAATCCAGGTGAAAGCTATGATCCCTTATTGATGTCACTTGTTAAATCCACTTCAATCAGTGTAGATGAAGGGGAGGAGACGGTTTAAAGAAGGATTTTTAAGCCTTGAGACATGGATTGTGTATGTGTGCCATTCAGAGGGTGAATGGGCAAGACACAAGATTTAAGTGCCTTTGAATGGGGTATGGTAGTAGGTGCCAGGCACACCGGTTTGTGTGAAGAACTGCAACTCTGCTGGGTTTTTCACACTCAACGGTTTCCCGTGTATCAAGAATGGTCCACCACCCAAAGAACATCCAGCCAACTTGACACAACAGTGGGAAGCATTGGAGTCAACATGGGCCAGGATCCCTGTTGAACTCAATATTAGGAAGGTGTTCCTAATGTTTGGTATTCTCAGTGTATAGCTATGGTGTTTCTGAGGCTGAGCTATGTGCTTGAAATAGGATTTGTTAAGTTGACAAGGTTAGATCTCAGCTCAATTAAAGAGGGTGTTGCATTTGGCATGCATCTGAGGGTTGTATTTCTTCAACAGGCTAACCTCATCTCTGAGTCCCTGGTTGTGTTTCTTCAACAGGCTAACCTCATCTCTGAGTCCCTGGTTGTGTTTCTTCAACAGGCTAACCTCATCTCTGAGTCCCTGGTTGTGTTTCTTCAACAGGCTAACCTCATCTCTGAGTCCCTGGTTGTATTTGTGTGTTCCACCACTGGCCAAGGAGATCCACCAGACAACATGAAGGTATCAGATAATAGTGCCCAAACTGTGTGTCTGTCTGTGGTAAAAGCTACTTTTGTTTCTCTATGCGTCTCTCCCAATTTGCACTTAATAATATAATATATGGCATTTAGCAGACACTTTTATCCAAAGTGACTTGGACTTAGTAATGCGTGCATACATCTTTAACGTATTACATTTTTTTAGTAATGCGTGCATACATCTTTAACGTATTACATTTTTTTAGTAATGCGTGCATACATCTTTAACGTATTACATTTTTTTAGTAATGCGTGCATACATCTTTAACGTATTACATTTTTTTAGTAATGCGTGCATACATCTTTAACGTATTACATTTTTTCCACTTCCTTTGCAGAATTTTTGGCGGTTCGTGTTTAGGAAGTCTCTGCCCGCTGGATCTCTGTGTCGCCTAGACTGTGCCGTGCTGGGCTTGGGTGATTCCTCCTATCCCAAGTGAGGGCTTTCATCAAAAACGCAACCACATAAATCATTACAAATCCCTTCGTCTATACATGCACACCATTGAAATCCATTTACGTTGGTAGTGAGTGACCAAACCAAACATGGATCACAACATGTCACGCATGCCAATGACGGGGAGAGAGATTAAGTGAAATTTGATAAATGAATCAAAACTTACCCATTGTTTTCCATGTGGACTTCTATGTGAAGTCACTTCCCACATTGACTAAATTTAAATGGAAACTTCCCTGTATGGTGTACTAGCAGGAACATAACATACCCTAGTTGTGAATAATACAATTACATTTTCACTTGTAGGTTCAACTTTGTGGCGAAGAAGCTTCACAAGCGCCTTATGCAGCTGGGGGCCAGTGTGCTGCTGCCTGTGGGACTGGCAGACGACCAGCACGACCTGGGGTGAGAGACTGTTGCATGGGGTTCCTCAGGGATCTGTCTTTGGCCCGTTAAGTATTTCCTCTATTGGTTTTATACACTCTGTAATCTTCATAATGCCAGATTAGCTCAATATGGTAACCTGTAAAGTCAGTACATTATGTTACTTAATTCTCTTAACTTTTGTTGACTGTTTGGACTATTCAACCTTTGTGTTCAACAGCGCAGATGGGGTGATTGACCCCTGGCTCACGTCATTCTGGGAGAGGGCGCAAGCTCTATATCCAACACCTGCAGGCCAGAGCCTTATCAGGGAGGATGAACCGTAAGCCTCCTTTACTTGACTGTTGACTAATCAATGTGTCTAATGTCTAATATTATATCTGAATATGCCCAACTCCCATGATGTACTGTGCTGTAACTGTACCCTTACCGTTGTTCGTTTTACAGACTCCCTCCGAGGTACGTTTTCCAATTTATGGATGACGTCAGTGAGAATGGGGCGGATAGGCTAAGAGTGCCAGAGCAACCGATCTCGCCCTCTCAGACACACCCCTTTCCAGGGAGGGTGGTATCCAATAAAAGGGTGACACACTCCTCCCACTTTCAGGATGTTCGACACATTGAGTTTGACGTCACAGGCTCAAATATTGAGTGAGTGCTCTAATGTACTGTGCCTTAACAAATTGCTGCCATGTTTATTGTCAGATTTTTTTGAAATGTAACTGTCTAAAATGTACTTTGTGATGGTGAACCATCTTGCTCTGAGGTTAAACTGTGCTTAAAAAGGATTAGACTTTAGATGATAGTGTGTGTTTGTGTCGTTGGCAGATTCACTGCTGGGGACGTGGTGATGATGAGACCTTGTAACACCCCTGAGGACGTGGAGCAGTTCTGTCAGCTCCTGAGACTGGACCCTGATCGCCAGTTCACCCTCAGTCCCACAGACAGCGATACAGGTTAGTGTTTGTCACATTTGACTGCTTGTATCGGTGGGTCCATGCATACGTGAGCTACAATAACATCCATCCTTCTAAGCGCCCACTTCTATGTACCATACACAAACCACATAACCCGTGCCCCTCTTTTACCCCCCTCACCCTCTCCCCAGTTTCCGTCCCAGCCCGCCTGGCCCAGCCTTGCACGGTTCGGCGTCTGGTGGAGAGCTTCCTGGACATAGCGGCCGTGCCTCGTCGCTCCTTCTTCGAGCTCCTCGCCACGTTCGCCACCAATGAGCTGGAGCGGGAGAAGCTGTCTGAGTTTAGCTCTGCCCAGGGCCAGGACGAGCTGCATGCCTACTGCAACAGGCCGCGACGCACCGCCTTGGAGGTGAGAGGGACCTGTAATGATATGATTATGCTACCACCTGGGGGCACAGGATGGAAGTTCAGTTGATCTGACTTCTTACAACAATAATTAATATTATGTTCGATAGATTTGGTGAGCCAGGTCAAAGGTCAATACGACAGGGCTGCGTCTAGATTCCCACTCCCTTCTCACTGAAGTGCTTTTGCTCACTCCCGGTCCTGTGTGTGTGTGTGTGTGGTCCTGTGTGTGTGTGGTCCTCAGGTGTTGACCGACTTCCCCCACACGACAGCAGAGCTGAGTGTAGACTACCTACTGGACCTGTTCCCTGAGATCCAGCCTCGCTCCTTCTCCATTGCCTCCTCCCTGCTGGTGAGGTTACAGCACTGAAAGGCCACATTTCAGGGTTGGGCAATGATGTTCCCCAAGGGCTGCTGTGGGTGCAGGCTTTTACTCCAGCGAAAGCAGTAATGCACCTGATTCAACTAATTGTCTTCAATCAAGACTTTGTTAGTTTAATTTACTGTGTTACTGGTTTGATTGGAGCAAAAATCTGCACCCACACTGGCCCTTTGACTTTACCAAAATCTTCTCCTGCTTTTTTTCCTGTTTTCTCTCCACACAGGCACATCCCAACAGGATCCAGATACTGCTAGCTGTGGTGCGCTACAAAACCAAGATGCACCTACCACGCAAGGGCCTGTGTTCATCCTGGCTAGCTTCACTGGACCCCACACAAGGTCTGTTAGCACTGTCTACTACATGGTTTTAGTATTAGTGGCACTCTAATGCAGTACGCAGGTAGCTACTGAACGTTCAGTGTTTTGCCAAGCACATTTTGGGTAAATAAAGTCTTATAAATTGAATTTGAATTGATATCGAATTTGATTAGAAGAAATTGTATTAACACTGTAGCTATCAGCTGTCATAGTCATTTTGTTGACTCTTCCACTTTGCAGGGGACATCTATGTGCCTTTGTGGGTAAAGAAAGGGAGTATGAAGTTCCCTAAGGACCCCTACTCCCCTGTGATCATGGTTGGGCCCGGGACGGGAGTGGCTCCTTTCAGGTCTGCTCTGCAGGAAAGGATAGCCCAGGGCAAGAATGGTGAGTTCCCCTTGGATTGGTTTTACCCTCCTCTCACCACTCCTCTAAAGTGTTATTTTAGATTTCGTTTTAGTCTTTTGACTAAAATACCTTTTAGTCTTAGTGCCATTTGGCATTTCATCCTTACTTTGAGTTATTATCAGTCGACTAAAACTCTGGACAATTTTAGTCTAGTTTTAGTCAGTCATTTTAATCACATTTTTACTCTGTGCATATAATTTTTTTCGTCCATTAAATAATTAATATTTAGCGCTAACTTCCATGATGTGCACATTAAGATAGCCTGGTCCAACTAGGCCTACTATCCCCTCAAATAGCTGGCACATTGCTATTGTGGCAGATTGTTACTAATGCAAGCCATGATTTACCATAAAGGTTCAACAATTTAGGCCTTCAGCTCTGATTTGCTCCCCATCATAACCTTGTGATGGTAACAGTGACTAAAAAGGGCAGAATATGAGCTTTCTAACAAAGCCACAATTATTACTGTATGCCAAATATTCAGCAAATAGCATGAGAATTTCCAATCGGAGAAAAGCAACTGCACTCGCAGTAGCGGACCGCGAGAACGGCAACACTGATGAATAACAGTCCACATGGTAATAGAGCAAAACTAGCCTACATGGAAGTAAGAGAGGATTAAAGATTATTGTTTCTAGTTGAGGTTAGTTACAGTGAAGTGTCCTGGCTGCCTGCGCATCAGTTCAAAAGAGAGACGAGTGACTGAAGTGACCCCCTGGGAGCTGTGTGGGAGGAGCCGGGCAGATCAGCGCAGTCAGCCAATAGCTAGGTTTCCATCCAATTGGCAACATATTTTCATGTGAATATTCTAAAATCTGCATAAAGAAAATATGCGCATTTTCCCACCAGTGGTGTTTCCACCAAACAGACGTAGTGCACACAAAATTTACTTTTTCACGTACCGAATAAAAATCTAAAGTTCAATGTGTTTGCATCGCATTTTCAACTCTACTGATAGTTTTGTCACACAAAAAAACGTACGTTAAATAGCAAATGTGCCTACTCTGGTCTTGGCACGTGCGCTCTAGCCAACAGCTGGCAGATACAGTGCAGGTAGCTGTGCGGGTAGGCTAGTCTACATGAGGAGATTATTATGGATAAGAGTGAGAATATGTTTTTGTCAAATGGCAGTCAAGCATCGATCATCACGTCACCAGAATAAGACCCTCGATATATACAGTGAGGGAAAAAAGTATTTGATCCCCTGCTGATTTTGTACGTTTGCCCACTGACAAAGAAATGATCAGTCTATAATTTTAATGGTAGGTTTATTTGAACAGTGAGAGACAGAATAACAACAAAAAAATCCAGAAAAACGCATGTCAAAAATTTTATAAATTGATTTGCATTTTAATGAGGGAAATAAGTATTTGACCCCTCTGCAAAACATGACTTAGTACTTGGTGGCAAAACCCTTGTTGGCAATCACAGAGGTCAGACGTTTCTTGTAGTTGGCCACCAGGTTTGCACACATCTCAGGAGGGATTTTGTCCCACTCCTCTTTGCAGATCTTCTCCAAGTCATTAAGGTTTCGAGGCTGACGTTTGGCAACTCGAACCTTCATCTCCCTCCACAGATTTTCTATGGGATTAAGGTCTGGAGACTGGCTAGCCCACTCCAGGACCTTAATGTGCTTCTTCTTGAGCCACTCCTATTGTTGCCTTGGCCGTGTGTTTTGGGTCATTGTCATGCTGGAATACCCATCCACGACCCAATTTCAATGCCCTGGCTGAGGGAAGGTGGTTCTCACCCAAGATTTGACGGTACATGGCCCCGTCCATCGTCCCTTTGATGCGGTGAAGTTGTCCTGTCCACTTAGCAGAAAAACACCCCCAAAGCATAATGTTTCCACCTCCATGTTTGACGGTGGGGATTTTGTTCTTGGGGTCATAGGCAGCATTCCTCCTCCTCCAAACACGGCGAGTTGAGTTGATGCCAAAGAGGTCCATTTTGGTCTCATCCACAACACTTTCACCGAGTTCCTCTGAATCATTCAGATGTTCATTGGCAAACTTCAGACGGGCCTGTATATGTGCTTTCTTGAGCAGGGGGACCTTGCGGGCGCTGCAGGATTTCAGTCCTTCACGGCGTAGTGCGTTACCAATTGTTTTCTTGGTGACGCTGCCTTGAGATCATTGACAAGGTTCTCCCGTGTAGTTTTGGGCTGATTCCTCACCGTTCTCATGATCATTGCAACTCCACGAGGCAAGATCTTGCATGGAGCCCCAGGCCGAGGGAGATTGACAGTTATTGTGTTTCTTCCATTTGCGAATAATCGCACCAACTATTGTCACCTTCTCACCAAGCTGCTTGGCGATGGTCTTGTAGCCCATTCCAGCCTTGTGTAGGTCTACAATCTTGTCCCTGACATCCTTGGATAGCTCTTTGGTCTTGGCCATGGTGGAGAGTTTGGATCTGATTGATTGCTTCTGTGGACAGGTGTCTTTTATACAGGTAACAAGCTGAGATTAGGAGCACTCCCTTTAAGAGTGTGCTCCTAATCTCAGCTCGTTACCTGTATAAAAGACACCTGGGAGCCAGAAATCTTTCTGATTGAGAGGGGGTCAAATACTTATTTCCCTCATTAAAATGCAAATGAATTTATAACATTTTTGACATGCGTTTTTCTGGATTTTGTTGTTGTTATTCTGTCTCTCACTGTTCAAATAAACCTACCATTAACATTATAGACTGATCATATCTTTGTCAGTGGGCAAACGGACAAAATCAGCAGGAGATCAAATACTTTTTTCCCTCACTGTAGGGCAGCAGGTAGCCTAGCGGTTAAGAGCATTGGGCCAGTAACTGAATGGAAACTGGATTGAATCCCCGAGCAGACTAGGTGAGGACCACACACCATATCATCACGTGACTCCAAATTTACTTCGATATGATGGTTATTATATCAATATTTTCGCATAAAGGCGTTTCCACCGCCATTTCTCGCATAATTAATTTTACCAACAAAAAAAATCCCACCATGTCGAACGAACCAATTATCTGTCTGCATTTCTAAAATTGTACCGAAACGTCCTGTTTCCGTCACAGCTGTCGTGATTTCTTTTTTTATACGGTAGGATTTTACTCGCATAAAAACTGTGGATGGAAACATGGTTACTGGGAGGATTGCATTATACCGGTATTCTGCAAAGGCTTGCTTATGATTGGACAACATGGATGAAAAGGTTAATGTCAAATTAAATGTCCATTAGTCTCATGTGGAATTCTCATTTCGTTACATTTTCGTCAACTAAAAAGGTCATTTTTAATGGTTGTCGTTAATTTTCAGGTCATCTAGTCTCGTTATGGTCATTAGTTTTCGTCAGGAAAAATAGGTGGTTGGCGAATATTTTTCGTTATTGTTGATGAAATTAACACTACTCCTCCAACACAACACTGTACATGTACTGAATGAAATATGGCCCCGATTCTGAACCAATTATTTATAGGATCCCCCCATTATAGTGAATGGAAAGATTGCAATATTCGTGGTCAATCTTTGTATAGATCAATAAATGTTTCGAAGACAATGATGGTACCAATAATTACTTATAATACACTAGATGTATGTCCTTCAACCGATTTTATTTAAAAACCGCACACAGAAGTTAAGGATAATTGAAAGTGCCTTCAGAAAGTATTCATACCCCTTGACCTATTCCACATTTTGTTGTTATAGCCTGAATTCAAAATGTATTAAATATTTTTTTCTCACCCATCTACACAGAATACACCCCATAATGACAAAGTAAAAATATATTTGGGGGAATTTTTGCAAATGTATTAAATGAAATACTGAAATATCTCATTTACATAAGTATTCACACCAGAATCAATACTTTGTAGAAGCACCTTTGGCAGCGAATACAGCTGTGAGTCTTTCTGGGTAAGTCTCTTAAGAGCTTTCTACACCTGGATTGTGCAACATTTACCCATTATTCTTTTCACATTTCTTCAAGCTCTGTCAAATTGCTTGTTGATAATTGCTAGACAACCATTTTCAGGTCTTGCCATAGATTTTCAAGTAGATAAGTCAAAACTGTAACTCGGCTACTCAGTAACATTCACGGTCTTCTTTGTAAGCAACTCGTGTAGATTTGCCCTTGTGTTTTAGGTTATTGTCCTGCTGAAATGTGGATTAATCTCCCAGTGTCTGGTGGAAAGCAGACTGAACCAGGTTTTCATCTAGGACTTTGCCTGTGCTTAGCTCCATTCAGTTAATTTTTTATCCTGAAAAACTCCCCAGTCCTTAACGATTACAAGCATACCCGTAACATGATGCAGCCACCACTATGCTTGAAAATATGGAGAGTGGTATTCCGTAATGTGTTCTATTGGATTTGCTCCAAACATTACACTTTGTATTTAGGACAAAAAGTGAATTGCTTTGCCAATTTTTTTGCAGTATTACTTTAGTGCTTTGTTGCAAACAGGATGCATGTTTTGGAATATTTGTATTATGTACAGGCTTCTTTCTTTTCACTCAGTCAATTAGGTTAGTATTGGGGAGTAACTACAATGTTGTTGATCCATCCTCAGTTTTATCCTATCACAGCCTTTAAACGACTGATAAAAAATATCAACATTTCATCAATTTTAAATTGAAGCTGTAACACAACAAAATGTGGAAAATGTAACTTCCTGGAGTAGCTCAAACTACGCATGTTGTCTCCATGAGAAGCTGTCTTAGCAAGCTAAAAACCGACTTCCTGGGCTTCAAATGCTGTTGACTCTTCACATAGGAATGAATGGTGTCATGTCATCGATGGCTTTGTCATAGCTTTCTCCCCACTCTCGTCAATAGTTTCCTGTATGAGTTTGTCAATTTGTGTTCTACTCAGTAACAAACACATATAGACATTTGTAAGTTGTTGCTATACTTGTTCCCTTCTGTTTGTATACCGGTTAGCAAATTAAATACTGTTTCTCCTCTTGTATATCAGCCAATGTGCTGTTTTTTGGCTGCCGGTCCCAGTCGAAGGATTTCTACTGCGGCTCCGAATGGGAGGAGATGGGGAAAGCAGGCCAGCTGACACTCTTCACAGCTTTCTCAAGGGATCAGGTAGGTAGACCAAAAGGATCCACACACACACACACTTCACTCTAATGGATGGGGATGTTTTTGTGTGCGTTTGCAGGAAGACAAGATTTATGTGCAACAGCGTGTGCAGGAGCAAGCTAAGCTTCTATGGGACCTGATCGCCAATAAGAACGGCTACTTTTACATCGCAGGGTGGGTATACTTTAACGTGCTGCAATGATAAAATGGTGTTTGGTAAATGTGCGTGCATCTTACCCTAGTCGTGTTCAGTAGACACAAAACGGAATGAAATAGGTAGCAGAATGTCTTCCCAATACAAATGCGCATGGTGTGCCCTAATGCACAACCCCAGATTGGTCATTACTGATGCATATCTGTCATTCGTATCCAGTAACGCCAAACAGATGCCGACGGCAGTGTGCGACGCCCTGAAGGAGGGCTTTCAGAGCCAAGGGGGCGTGTCCTCTTCCGAGGCGGACGAGATGCTGGTCGCCATGGAGAGGGCAGGCCGATTCCAGAGCGAGACCTGGTCCTGATCACATGGCTACAGAGTGGTGCTATTCAAACGCAGCAAGCTTTATCAGTGTGACATGCTGCTCCAAGTACTTGCATTTGACAATCAGTGGTGACTTATTTATGAGTGGATTGACTGCAGAGGAATTCAAACTCAACACCATACCACTTCTGTACCAAGATTTTGGTATCAGCTTAGAAAATAGGTGTAAAATATGAATAGATACTGTACTACTACAAGCAGCACTGCATAAAGTGTTAGTCAAATGCACTTTGGAAACATTTAAGTCTGACATTCATTACTTTGACTGCCAAACCCTAAGGGAAAAGAATGTACCATGCACTTAATGAAGAACAATATGATGTGTAGCAGTGTATACACTATCTGTAAGATTGTGGCTGGTAAAAAAATATTAGTTTTGAGTGGTTGGGTTGAGACCAAATTAAGGTCCTAACCTTTGAATTGTCCCAAATATAGGGACCCTTTAGTGGACCAATTGGGATACAATGGTGAGATCAATGTATATATTGCATGCCTTGATGTAAATAAAAAGGTATCAAACGCATCACTTATACCTTTGTTGTTGTAGAAACTACTAGACCAAAGAATCATCACACCCCCACAACCAGTAACCTAGAAAACCACAAAATGAGATTTCCTGAAAAGTTATATTTCATTTGACATTCAAACGCCCATGGAAAATGTATACAGTACTTACATTTCATCAGTATTCACCAATATGTTAGGGCTATGTGACAGAGCGCTTACAAACAGCCCAATCCATGTATTCTTGGTACTGTGAATAAATTACATTAAAAACGGGTATATGGAGGGACGGGCAACTCTGTTCCTGATTTTTGCTCTGTCTTTCAAATCAGTATCTAATTTTGACTTGGGAAACCAGATGTGACCGGATACTCTGAGCATTCAGTGACAAGAATGAATTATGCGTCAGGCAAAAGGGAGAACCTGGGTCATGTCCAATAAGGTACCTGAACTTGTCCAATACGTTTTCCATTGCAAAACGGTGTGCCCTACGGAACATGACCCTGACCAGAATTGCTCATCCCTGACCTTTAGGAATTCAAGTGCTGTAACTCATGTCCTCCACAAGCAATGGTGCTGTACAGTATCACAGCTAAAATAATTTACTCAGCGTGGCATTTGCATTTCTGAGACTTACATGATCCATCCCCATATAATCCATCCATACTTCCTAAGAATTGTCACAATTATCCTTTAGTAAATGATACTGATGATTCATAAAACCTCTACCCGATGTATTCACACAGAGTAGGTCATATATACACCATTAGACAAACATACTTAGACAAACATGCCTACCCACTAAGCTGGACTGTCCGACTTAGACAGTAGGCTAGTCATGAAGGTCCTGTGGCTTGAGCATCGTTTTGTTATTGGCACCCACCCTCCTTTCCCACCTCCCATCTGTCTTCATCCCCTGTCCCTATCTGAGGGCCAGCTGGTGGACCTGGTAGATCTCGTCAGGAAAGTTCATCTGTTGCTCTTCACAGACGATAGTGAGGCCTGCCCGGGCCACCAGGCTCTTCACCAGAGCCAGTTCCCGGCACACGCTGCTGTCGACGTCGTCGGGGATCACGCCCTCGTAGGCCACGTTGTCCTTGATGACAATCAGGCCCTCTGGGCGCAGGCCGCCACGGCAACGGCGCAGGAACTCCACCAGGTGGTCGTCAGTCAGGTGGCCTGAGGTGAGGGAAGGAAGGGTGGCTAGCTATAGCTTAACAGTTTGGTTTTATTGGATAATGTTGTAACAGTTTGGTTTTATTGGATAATGTTGTAACAGTTTGGTTTTATTGGATAATGTTGTAACAGTTTGGTTTTATTGGATAATGTTGTAACAGTTTGGTTTTATTGGATAATGTTGTAACAGTTTGGTTTTATTGGATAATGTTGTACACATTTGCAGCTAAAAGCTGAATTGCAACATGCCTGCGTAAAATAAATACAGAAACTGTTACAAAGCTAATCAAAATAATTAAGTCTCTAGGATTAAGCACTCACAAGTTAGGCATAGAGCTGTCAATGACAGTATGCCAGTTAACTCCGACATTTTTTAGAATTGTGAGTTGAGAGGACTCACCAATGACCCACTGGATCCAGATGACGTCATAGCGTCCGTCCTGCGGGATGAAGTCCTGCAGGCCGAGGCAGAAGTAGTTCTCCACCCGTTTGCTCTCCTCGCCCAGGTAGACCTTAGCCTGGTCCAGGAACTCCTGAGTCACGTCCACCAAGTCCACAGTGTTGAAGAGGGGCAGCAGCAGTCGCTTGGTGATGCGCCCTATTCCGGCACCACAGTCCAGGGCGCAGCCATTACCAGTCTTCCCTTCGCCCTTCTTTTAGTGCCAAGAGGGAGGGGTTAGAGTGGGTAGAGTTTCTTGACATGTAAGCATCAGTTTCAAGGTAACTTGTCTAACAGATAACTGCACAGGGGGTCGGTCCCCCAATGCTCTACACTTAGCCCATAACTATTTTAAAAAACGACAACATTATGCTTCACTAAGTGTGCAAACAAAGTATGCGTGCAAATAAATAGTCTAACGTGCTTTAAGTGTGTTTCTACAGAAAACTTTGGAAAATGTTTCTTACGCCAAGGAATTTCTGCAGGAACTTCTTAGAGCCGTCAATGTCAATGTTGGAGATCTTGCCGTAGCCTCCTAGCATGCCATCCACGGTGGGCGCCACTTCTCTCCAGTAGTTTTCAGCCTTGGAGTAGAAGACTGTCTCATTCTGCACAAAGTCACCCATCCTGTCTGAAGAACCCAAAGGGCTGAGGTAAGTAGGACTTCCCACGTATGCATCATTATAAACTGGGTGGTTCAAGCCCTGAATGCTGATTGGCTGAAAGCCGTGGTATATCAGACCGTATACCACAGGTATGAAAAAACATGTATTTTTACTGCTCTAATTACACTGGTAAGCAGTTTGTAATAGCAATAAGGCACCTCGGGTGTTTGTGGTATATTGCCAATATATCACGGCTAAGGGCTGTATCCAGGCACAAGAACAACCCTTAGACGTGGTACATTGGCCATATACCACAACCACTCAGGCCTTATTGCTTAAATTATAACAATTATTATGACTAAAGCTAAAGTCACACAGAGTGAAAGAATAACAAAGCAACTAGTAGGTCTGACCCATGACTTTCGATAAGGCTATTTAGTTATTTATCCTTATTGCGAGCAATGCAGGGAACATGCCACAGCTAGCTTGACTGCTAGCTAACTTAGTACGTTTCTGGCTACCTGACCCTCAGATGTGTTGCCTTAGTAGGGCCTGCACCTTGTGTTATGTTGGTTGAAGCACTGCCTACTCCCCTCCCGCCAAAGAATCGCCTGCTAGGCTTCTTCACTCCTCTCCGAGACGTTGACTTGATGTTATTCATGATGGTATGATTAGCTGACTTCTTGTCGACTTCTTTCCAGCATGTGTCCCAGGGAAACCCTAGGAGACGTGTTTAACCTTACTCCCAAGTCCTAGCGATGACGTGAGAGCTCTGCATTTATCCTCACCTGTCATAGAGAGGCGCGCGCACACACAGGAAGGCACACACACACTCTGTAGCCAAATGTGGCCCTACTTGGCCCCAGTTCAGCTGTCAGCGCTCATCTTGTGACCAGGGTCAATGTGGGGCATGCCAGTGAATTAACCAAGTACACTACATGGCCAGAAGCTCGTCGAACATTTCTTTCCAAAATCATGGGCATTAATATGGAGTTGGTCCCCCTTTGCTGCTATAACAGCCTCCACTCTTCAGGGAAAGCTTTCCACTAGATGTTGGAACATTGCTTCCATTCAGCCACAACAGCATTAGTGAGGTCGGGCACTGATGTTGGGCGATTAGACCCGCAGTCAGCTTTCCAATTCATCCCAAAGGTGTTTGATGGGGTTGAGGTCAGGGTTCTGTACAGGTCAGTCAAGTTCTTCCACACAAATCTCGACAAACCATTTCTGTATGGACCTCGCTTTGTGCACGGGGGCATTGTCATGCTGAAACAGGAAATAACCTTTCCCAAACTGTTGCCACAAAGTTGGAAGCACAGAATAGTCTACAATGTCATTGTATGCTGTAGCGTTAAGATTTCCCTTCACTGAAACTAAGGGGCCTAGCCCGAACCATGAAAAATAGCCCCAGACCATTATTCCTCCTCCACCAAACTTTACAGTTGGCACCCAGATTCGTCCGTCGAACTGCCAGATGGTGAAGCGGGATTCATCACTCCAGAGAACGCGTTTCCACTGCTCCAGAGTCCAATGGCAGCGAGCTTTACGCCACTCCAGCCGACGACGCTTGGCATTGCACATGGTGATCTTAGGCTTGTGTGAGGCTGCTCGGCCACCAAACCCCATTTCATGACGCTCCTGACGAACAGTTCTTGTTGCTTCCAGAGGCAGTTTGGAACTCGGTAGTGAGTGTTGCAACCGAGGTCAGCACGCAGCGGGCCCATTCTGTGTGGCCTACCACTTCGCGGCTGAGCATTTGTTGCTCCTAGATGTTTCCACTTCACAATAACAGCACTTACAGTTGACCGGAGCAGCTCTAGTAGGGCAGAAATTTGACGAACTTCCTTGTTGGAAAGGTGGCATCCTATGTGGTGCAGTGGTCTAAGGCACTGCATCGCAGTGCTAGCTGTGCCACTAGAGATCCTGGTTCGAATCCAGGCTCTGTCGTAGCCGGCCGCGACCGGGAGACCCATGGGGCGGCGCACAATTGGCCCAGCGTCGTCCAGGGGAGGGGAGGGAATGGCCGGCAGGGATGTAGCTCAGTTGGTTGTGGGTTTGATTCCCACGGGGGGCCAGTATGAATTTTTTTTATAATGTATGCACTCACTAACTGTAAGTCGCTCTGGATAAGAGCATCTGCTAAATGACTAAAATGTAAAATGTATGACGGTGCCATGTTGAAAGTCACTGAGAGCTTCAGTAAGGCCATTCTACTGCAAATGTTTGTCTATGTAGATTGCATGGCTGTCTGCTCGATTTTATACAACTGTCAGTAACAGGTGTGGCTGATATATCCGAATGCACTAATTTGAAGGGGTGTCCACATACTTTTGGCCATGTCGTGTAACTAGCTGGGAGGGAGAACCTCCACAGATAAGGCCGGGGTCTATGATCAAGCAAGTCCAACCTTAACTAAATATAGAAGACAGACACGACTAGTGACATGCACCAATATTGAAGAAGAAAACTTACTGGTTTGAAAACAAATCTAACTAGTAAACTAGTAAAGCACGTTGACAATGAACATGGACAAAAATCAGAGGGTCAGGTAGCCAGAAACTTACTAACTAGTTAGCTAGCTAAGTTAGCTAGCAATAAAGCTAGCTGGTAGCTAGCTGCTAACTAGCTTGTTTGTGCAATGCCAATGGTTTTCTTCTAGTTTAGCTATCTTGGAGGTTAAGAAGTAAAGTGGTTATTACAGCAAGGCACTTTACTCCACTGCGATCTATTTTTGGAAGCAGACAGTTGTCGAGGACTGATAACCACTGACTTAGCCATCAATGATGAAAAGTAGCTAGCACGTGCTAGCTAAGTAGCTTTAGCTAGCTACCGGTAGGTAGTAGCATGTTGAATCGGTGTGAGCTGACAGTCGTTGACAAGGTTGTAAAGTTGAATGCGCCCAACATCTGACCCAAATCAAAGCTAATTTTTACAAACTGGGATGCGGCAACTTACTTTAACACGTACGTCTCAGTAGTAAATCACCAAACCCCTCGATCATGTCACAAATCAAGTGCCAATGTGTTTTTTCTGCCTGCCGAAAGCATCCCTGGACACTACACTGCCAAATGCTTTGCGGTCTACGTAATTTCCTTATTTGGCATGCGCATGTGGCATGAGATGGTTAAATGTCTCCACCCAGTGGTTTATCGCGGAATTACAGGTAGGCTATGTGTTGTTAGGCTATGTGTGTGCATCACCAGAGATCATGATTCATGAGAATTTGGTTGTGTGGTGTAGATGCTGGGTTTGTCTGGCTTCTCTCGCCTTACCCTTCTCTCCCTAGTCCCTCCATTACCGTCTCTTATGTTCATCTTTCCCTCTATCAGTGATTGCCTCCATATCATCCTCACATTTTCTTTATACTATAACTGTTTACTTATTTTCTGCTTCTATTCCACCTCCCTCTTTCTCTTTCTGTCTCCCTCTATTCTCACCCTTTTCTCCACTCATTCCCTCTGGTCCATTTCTCTGCTGTCTATGCTCTCCACCACCCCTCTCCACTTTATATCAGTCTCTCTCTCTCTCTCTCTCTCTCTCTCTCTCTCTCTCTCTCTCTCTCTCTCTCTCTCTCTCGCTCTCTCTCTACCTTGCTCTCTCTCTCTCTCTTTCTCTCTCGCTCTCTTTATGTTACTCTATCTCTCCCTCTCTTGCAAATTCAAAGGGCTTTATTGGCACAGGAAACATATGTTTACATTGCCAAAGCAAGTGAAATAGATAAACAATAAACAAAAGTGAAATAAACAATCAGAAATTATCTCTTGCTTCTCTCTCTCTCTCTCTCTCTCTCTCTCTCTCTCTCTCTCTTTCGACCTCTGCATTTCCTCTGTCTCTGTCTCTCTCTCTCCCTTTCACCCTGCCTCTCTCAATTGAATTTCAATTCAAAGGGGCTTTATTGGCATTGGGCTCCCGAGTGGCGCAGTGGTCAAAGGCACTGCATCTCAGTGCTTGAGGTGTCACTACAGACCCCTGATTCGAATCCAGTCTGTATCACAACCGGCTGTGATTGGGAGTCCCATAGGGCGGCGCACAATTGGCCCAGCGTTGGCCAGTGTAGGCCGTCATTGTAAATAAGAATTTGTTCTTAACCGACTTGCCTAGTTAAATAAAAAATGGGAAACATATGTTTACATCGCCAACGCAAGTGAAATAAACAAAAGTAAGAAGAAACAAAAAAACGATTTGAAATTAACAGTAACATTGCACTCAAAGGTTTAACAAAGATAGACATTTGAAGTGTTATATTATCAGTTATGTACAGTGTTTTAGCAATGTGCAAATAGTTGTAGTACGAATAGTGGGTGAAGATAAATAAACAGTGAAATATTGTTGGTTTTTACAATGTTGTTTGTGCTGCACTGGTATCCCTTTTCTCATGGCAACGGGCCACATATCTTGCTGCTGTGATTGCACATTGCGCTATTTCGCTAACAGATATTGGAGTTTATCAATGTTTGATTTGTTTTCCAATTCTTTGTGGGTCTGTGTGAACTGTGGGAAATATGTGTCTCTAATGTGGGCATACATTTGGCAGGAGGTTAGGAAGTGCAGCTCAGTTTCCAACTCATTTTGTGGACAGTGGGCGCATGTTTCTGATTGTGAAAAGAGCACCAGAACCAGCTGGCTGAGGGGACTCTTCTCTAGGTTAATCTCTCTGTAGGTGAGGGCTTTGTGGTGGAATGTGTGGGCATCGCATCGCTTCCTTTTAGGTGGTTGTAGAATTTAACAGCTCTTTTCTGGATTTTGATAACTAGCGGCTATAGTCCTAATTCTGCTCTGCATGCATTGTTTAGTGTTTTGCGTTGTACACATAGTATATATTGTTGCAGAATTCTGCATGCAGAGTCTCAATTGGGTGTTTGTCCCATTTTGTGAATTCTTGGTTGGTGAGTGGACCCCAGACCTCACAACCATAGAGGGCAATGGGTTTGAAGGCATAGAAGGCCCTTCTTGCCTTGTCTCTTACAGTTGAAGTTGGAAGTTTACATACACTTAGGTTGGAGTCATTAAAACTCGTTTTTCAACCACTCCACCCATTTCTTGTTAACAAACTATAGTTTTGGCTAGTCGGTTAGGACATCTACTTTGTGCATGACACAAGTCATTTTTCCAACAATTGTTTACAGACAGATTATTTCACTTATAATTCACTGTATCACAATTCCAGTGTGTCAGAAGTTTACATACACTAAGTTGACTGTGCCTTTAAACAGCTTGGAAAATTCCAGAAAATGATGTCATGGCTTTAGAAGCTTCTGATAGGCTAATTGACATCATTTGAGTCAATTGGAGGTGTACCTGTGGATGTATTTCAAGGCCTACCTTCAAACTCAGTGCCTCTTTGCTTGACATCATGGGAAAATCAAAAGAAATCAGCCAAGACCTCCGAAAAAAAATTGTAGACCTCCACAAGTCTGGTTCATCCTCCACGCAGCCGTCATATCGCTCAGGAAGGAGACACATTCTGTCTCTTAGAGATGAACGTATTTTGGTGCGAAAAGTGCAAATCAATCCCAGAACAACAGCAAAGGACCTTGTGAAGATGCTGGAGGAAACGGGTACAAAAGTATCTATATCCACAGTAAAATTAGTCCTATATCGACATAACCTGAAAGGCTGCTCAGCAAGGAAGAAGCCACTGCTCCAAAACCGCCATAAAAAAGCCAGACTACGGTTTGCAACTGCACATGGGGACAAAGATCGTACTTTTTGGTGAAATGTCCTCTGGTCTGATGAAACAAAAATAGAACTGTTTGGCCATAATGACCATCGTTATGTTTCGAGGAAAAAGGGGGTGGCTTGCAAGCCGAAGAACACCATCCCAAACGTGAAGCACAGGGGTGGCAGCATCATGCTGTGGGGGTGCTTTGCTGCAGGAGGGACTGGTGCACTTAGATGGCATCATGAGGAAGGAAAATTATGTGGATATATTGAAGCAACATCTCAAGACATCAGTCAGGAAGTTAAAGCTTGGTCGCAAATGGGTCTTCCAAATGGACAACGACCCCAAGCATACTTCCAAAGTTGTGGCAAAAGGGCTTAAGGACAACAAAGTCAAGGTATTGGAGTGGCCATCACAAAGCCCTGACCTCAATCCTATAGAAAATGTGTGGGCAGAACTGAAAACGCGTGTGCGAGCAAGGAGGCCTACAAACCTGACTCAGTTAAACCAGCTCTGTCAGGAGGAATGAGCCAGAATTCACCCAACTTATTGTGGGAAGCTTGTGGAAGGCTACCCGAAACATTTGACCCAAGTTAAACAATTTAAAGGCAATGCTACCAAATACTAATTGAGTGTATGTAAACTTCTGACCCACTGGGAATGTGATGAAAGAAATAAAAGCTGAAATAAATCATTCTCTCTACTATTATTCTGACATTTCACATTCTTAAAATAAAGTGGTGATCCTAACTGACCTAAGACAGGGAATTCTTACTAGGATTAAATGTCAGGAATTGTGAAAAACTGAGTTTAAATTTATTTGGCTGAGGTGTGTGTAAACTTCCGACTTCAACTGTAGATTGTTCACAGCCTTATGGAAGTTACCTGTGGTCTTGATGTTTAGGCCGAGGTAGGTATAATTATTTGTAGGGCAACAGTGTTTAAATAGAATTTGTATTTGTTGTCCTGGCAACTGGACCTTTTTTGGAACACCATTATTTTTGTCTTACTAAGATTCCCTGTCACGGCACAAGTCTGACAGAATCTGTGCAGAAGATCTAGGTGCTGCTGTAGGCCCTCCTTGGTTGGGGACAGAAGCACCAGATCATCTGCAAACAGTAGACATTTGATTTCCGAGTCCAGTGCTGAAAAATATGGCTAGGTTGTAGATTCGAAGGACCATTAAAATAGGGGAAAACTTAAGTAATGGTATTAGGCCGGTAGTAACCAATACAGAATGTCCGTTCAGAACAATGAGTCAGAATGTTCAGGTAAGGGGGTTTAATTGGCAGGAAGGATCCACACACAGCTGACAACACTCTGACACCAATGAATAACTGTAGATATGTAGTGCTTTTCTTATATGCCCGCACAAATACAGCTAAACATGGTGCAACTTGTAACTTGTCTTCCGAGTAGAATTCACGAACTGTCCACCTGTCTTCACCGCAATTTACTGTCTGGAGGCAGGACTCACAACGAGGAAGCGATAGAGAATGTCTCTGACTGGTTAGAAACTAAAGGGTGATTGACTGAGGGAGGAGCTGTCGGGCATTCTAACTAAAGGGACAAACTAGGGGTACATAGCGACATACCATAACTGATGCATGGTCGTTTTTACAAGTAGGGTGAGTCCAGGTGCTGCATACTGTTCTAGTGCCCTCGCCAATTTGTTGATATATATACAGTGCATTTGGAAAGTATTCAGACCCCTTCCCCTTTTCCACATTTTGTTATGTTACAGCCTTATTCTAAAATGGAATAAATAAATTTATTTCCTCATCAATCTACACATAATACTCCATAATGACAAATAAAAAACAGGTTTGAAAGATGGAGGTCACTGTGTTCTTGGGGACCTTCAATGCTGCAGACATTTTTTAGTACCCTTCCCCAGATCTGTGCCTCGACACAATCCTGTCTCAGAGCTCTACGGACAATTCCTTCGACCTCATGGCTTGGTTTTTGCTCTGACATACACTGTCAACTGTGGGACCTTATATGGACAGGTGTGTGACTTTCCAAATCATGTCTAATCAATTGAATTTACCACAGGTGGACTCCAATCAAGTTGTAGAAACATCTCAAGGATGATCAATGGAAAAATAATGCACCTGAGCTCAATTTCGAGTCTCATAGCAAAGGGTCTGAATACTTATGTAAATAAGTTTTTTTTTAATATATATATTTTAAATACATTTGCAAAAATTTCTAAAAATGTATTTTTGCTTTGTTATTATGGGGTATTGTGTGTAGATTGATAAGGGAACACAATATTTTGATCCATTTTAGAATAAGGCTGTAACGTAACAAAATGTGGAAAAAGTCAAGGGGTCTGAATACTTTCCAAATGCACTGTATCTTGAAGAGGGTGGGGCTCAAGCTGCATCCCTGTCTCACCACACAGCCCT